ATACTAGAAATTCGAAGAATATTTTCTTTTTGTCAAAAACTTTAAAACCGAAATATTTTGGGTTTGAGTAATCAAAAGAATTTTTGGTATAATTTTGGTACAATGTTTTCAATAAGTAAACGATTATACTAAGAATTCGCAGAATTGTTTCTTTTGTGACAAATAATAAAACTCGACATAACAGGATTATATAAGATTGAATATATAGTCTAAAATGTCTGAAAATAGTTCTCTGGGTCCCGTACAAATTCCTTAGTTTGCTCTTTCGATTGACTACTGTAGTTGGCATGCATTTTGAGTCGAACCCTGAAACAACCCCCGATTGTGAGAAATTGCTACAGGTTGCACTTCCGCTGTCATCCAATCGTTGCCATTGATTTTCTGCGTGTGTGCCTCAATTTTTTGTTCATTATTTTCTTGTTAGCCATGGCTGTGAAAACAACTTTTACAAAACTAAAAAAATCAGAAATAACAACCATTTCACCAGTAAATTGAAAACGAACAAAAGTAAGCAAGTAACAGCGAGAAAAATGAGAAAACTGAGATAACCAAAACCAATCGGACAGCATCGGTTAACAGTATTAACCAGCGACTGGCGTCTCCATTGCCGACTTCCGTTCGTTTAAGCAGATTGTTGTTGCCGTCCAAGGGGGCTCAAAGGGGCCAGAGGGACCCAAAGGGGGCCAAGTGTTACAGCTCGGTTCCACCACAAAAAGAAACTCCGGGGAACGCATCATTGGCGTGGAATTGCTTTGACTAATTTCCCAATGAATCGGCAGTTGCGGCTGCGCCCTGCGGCTCCACTATATGGATATAGTGTTATATGGTTGAAAACATATGTATGCGGGTCCATGTGTGTGGTACGACTATCAAAGTTGGCCGGGAAGAGAGTGCGAAGCCGTTAGTAAAAGCCACTTTGATAGCGGCTCACCCGCTCTTCAAAAATAGTTTCCCTTCAAATATTTGCAAATATGCACAGAGGAAAACTAAACCCAAGCTTGGCCTACTTTTAGCATTTTTTCCAGTGAACTTGTTTTAATTTTGTGCCATATCACAGCATTCAGTTGAGTTCAAATGAGTATACAAAAATACTACAGTACAGAGGCTTTAGTCGTCTCACAGCGACCTTTAAGATCCAAAGACTTTGGGTTATAATCGTTTTATAAGGAAAAATATTATTATATTTTATTACCACATTAAAAACTCACACGGTTATTAAAGTTTAAAGTACCTTAAGATAAAAAAAAGATATTTAAATTTTTGGGACCTGCTTAAGATTCTAAATATATATTTAGTTTTTTTAAAGATTCGTAAGACGAACCCCAAACGAGCAACTTTATTTCTCCCTGTGTACGAGCACGGTGTCATAATTAATTGAGCCATCAGGCAGCTCAAGCTTTAGCACAGATTTTTAGCCAGTTCTCCGGATGGAGTTGACCCATTTGCCGGCGACCCAATTGCATCTGAAATTGTTGTCTAATTAATCATCAGATTAGTTACTGTAACAACTTAATTCGACATGCCATGCGAATGCCGCAAACAATTGTGTGAAAATTGCACAAATCCAGCTCGTAGATACAAAAGCCGGCATACAAAGAAATATGTATCTATAGTAAAACTGATGCATATTGGGTAATGCACTTGGAATGGAAATCAATTTCTGTTGACCAACCTCAACAAAAATGATATGCAAAACGCCGGATTTAAGTTTGGTATGCATGATGGCAAATGCATTTTTAATTGCCGCATTGTCTGGGGAACTGCATATCATGCTGTTGCACAGCCCAAATTATCTTTCAAAGCCGCAGCAAATCCCATTCAGAGAATTTCCACATATCCACATATCTTTATTTCGGTCGGTTTTCACCGAAAAGAAAGAAATTTCTTTAGAGGCCCGCAGGCCAGCTCTTTTTGTTTCTCATGTCCAAAATCGCTGAACACTGAACAACGAACTCTGAAAACCGAGCGAACAACAAGTGCGTCAAACACAAAATCGTAATCATCTTGTTTGCTCCAACCAGCCAGCCAGCCATCCATCCATCTATCTATTCAACTATCCACATATCCATTCATAGATACTCTGGCAGACATACTGTCAGCATTTCAAGTCAACCATTTTACTGGCCAAAAGAAAAAAGCGATTGGAGACCAAGAATTTCTCTTTTCAATTTGCTGTTTTGGCCTTTCTCGCTTTGCCAAATATTTTTTCAGAGCCTGGGGCCTCAGGCTCTGGCGAAGATGAACCGCTGAGCCACTTAACCCATTGCCAGCCAAATGGGCTAACCGGCCCCAAATCGAAGCACTCTGCGTAATTACGTGCCAGAGATTTACATATTTGGGCGTGCGAAGTGCATTTTTCAGTTTGGCTGCAGCAACGCCCAGATATAGCCAAAAGTATCTCATGAATACATGCAGTCGAAGGTGACAGACCAACGCAAAGACGTCAGGGGCGCTTTTTTCGAGATGGGTAGCGATGAGGCATCGCCAGATTCTGGTTATCTGAGAGCTGGGATGGGATGGGATGTGGGTGTGGGTGGGGGTACGAGGAGTACGAGTTCGTTATCTGCTGCCGCATTTGTTTATGGGTCCCGGCCGTAAAAATAAACCAAAAATTCCTTTGATTGCAGTACGAAAGCGAACGCTCCCAGGCACAAACACAACCAGCAACAGCACCCTCCATGGGAAGTCTTGAATTTTGAATTTGTGTATCGCGCCTGCTGATAAGCTGCTCCGTAAGCGACTTTCTTGTGTTTTTTGGAGGCCCAATTCGAAGGCAGTGCGGACCCGCTTTCAGTGGCAAAACAATGGTCGTAACTGGCGCGTAATTAACACACAAAAAAAAAGGGGTAGTGAAGCAAATTTGTTTGCCAAAAGTGTTTCATGTGCGTGAGAGGTAGTGCCTGCATGTGTATCCCCGAGATACTGAGATACTGAGTGCGGAAATGGCCTAGGGCCGCTCTAAAATCACAAACAAACGACACAGACAGCGCCAACATGGCAGGTGAGGCGCCAGCAGCAACATCGCCAGCGGGCTGCAACAGCAGCAGCAGCAACAACATCCGAAGCAGCAGCAACAGCAACAGCAAGGAGACTAGTCCCGATCCCGATCCCGTCCAGCAGCAGTTGAACTCCAGTGTGGACAGTGGCATTGCGGTGCTGGAGGCGGAGACTCCGACCTTGAGGAGGCGCCAGAGATTGAGCCAGTGCCAGCGCATCCTCCAGGTGTTGCAGCGGGACCATCTCACCCACCAGCAGCTGCGAGATAGATTAAGGTGAGTTCAGTTCCCAGGGAGAAATCTATATACATTCCACAGTACTATCTCCGGTTTTCATCTACCTTTTATTGCTCTTATAAAAGTCTGACGCGTATTTAGTTGATCCTAATTAACGCTAATCAAGCCGGTTACAGTTTGCACTTTCAAAGAGTTCCATCGATTATGATTGGGGCTTGGTTTCTGGGCAACCATTTTAGTTTAATTAAAATTGAATTTTATATCCAAGTTTTTACTTAAGGCCATTTGATATTTGCTTAAGATTTAACTGACTAGATTTAGTTGAAAAAGTCATGGTATGGTTATAGAATGATCATCACCATCACTATTTGAAATAAATCCAGTAAGTCCAGTCGTAAAATAAGCATGTGTCATAAGACCATTAGAAGGGGTACAATAATACATAGATTTAATGATACGATACTTCGTATTTAATAGCTATAAATATAATGGGAAACCTTTTAGAAAAGCATGGGAATAGCTTTAGGTGCTTTACTTCGTATTACCAGAACGGAAGCAACTGGCAGCTGGGATTGGCCTATTGCCCCAAACCGACTTGGGTGCGCATGGAGCCCACAGTCTCGTGTGTGGTAACTGCATTGGTGCATGCATCTCCATCTCCATCTGAAGCTCTCAGACTGCGGGCGGATATCAATTTATGCAAATTTGCCGACCTCAAAATGGAAATGACAAAATCTCGGGCGCAGTCAGTCAGTCAGCCAGTCAGCCATGTCACTCGTACAGCCAGAAGTCATTCCGTGAGCAGTTGGGCTCTTCTGGGAATCCGTTTCGACAATTGTCAAAGAGAAACCCGCTGCTTCTGGCCACAGTGCTTTCAAATGAGTTTGCAATTTGTTTGGGAAACTACGGTCGAAGTGGCGGGGAAGTTCCATTAGAATGATAATGGACGACCAACCCAGTTTGGCGATCATAATTGAAGAAACCTCTTTAAACTGTATTGTTGTCTTTTCATTTGAAGAAACTGTACGCTTTATGGGGGGATAATTTTAGTTTTTTATGGTGTTCCTGGAATTGATTGTTAAGGGAAATAGACAAAATCATAATTGAAGTCAAGAATTCATATATTATTTGATTTTTATTAATATTTAGCCAATATAAACCTTATAAAATGTATAAGAACCTGAAATAAACAAAATCTTAATTAAATCGATCTATTAAATTCAATTGATCTATTATTAATTTCGTATAGCACCTGCCCAATATATGTAAACCCCATAAAATTGATAATTTTTGTATACTTAAAGAGCATCTCAGAATCGACTGGCTATAAAACCTGAGACCCCTAACCCACTCCGTGATAATTTCGTTTTTCCACACCAGTTTCGCCGCCCGAGGAGTGGAGTCGCAATCTTATCGAATATTTCATAATTAAGTTGATTAATGCCAATTAATTGCCGTAAGCTTTGCATGGCCAATGGCAGGGCCAATCGATTTCTGGGGTTTATTTTTTCTTCTGGCCACAAACTCTTGCCACCAGCCAAGCGGCCGACATGTGACTGGCAGCTGCCAAGTGGCATTTGCATTTGCATAAGGTCCGTTGGACAATGGACGAAATGCCAACGAATATTGGATGGTGGGGAGGGGTAGGGGTCATAACTGTCCATATTTCAGAGGGCTCAATGGGGATTTGCTTTCCACCCCTCGGTTGCATGGCCAACAAAGCTCCGACTGACCCACTGCGCCACCAATGGCCAGTTCCATTTTGGTTACTCGCCCGCAACGCACACAAAACCTTTAAAAAAACAAAATTAACAAAAAACCCAGCGATTACAATTATTAGAAATAATATTAGGCCCCAGAATTAAGCGAATTGGAAAGGGTATATATGTGACTTAACCTCCGAAATAGTCTTGACACTTATCTGCGAGTTTTTCGTCGCATACCGAGATATACCCACCTATATAATTATCACTGGACGCGAGCGGAACTCTTATCAAATCAACGGACGGCTTATGTACACGATCCGCAATAACGAAGTGGGCAAACAAAATCCAATATAATACCCATATATATATTGTGCAAAAAAGTAAACAAAACCAAATAAAACTTGGCTAAAACAAACCTGTCGCCATTTCAGGCCCAGTCGGAGTCAGCTGCTCCAATCGTTAAGTTAGCCGAAGATCGTTGGCGAACTGGAGGCCCTTAGCCGCGTGATCTTAATCAGTTCAGTTACGATACGTTTATAGCCGCGTTTTGTTTCAATTACTGCGTCATGCATTCGGGTTTGTTTTCGGGTTTACTTGAGGATGGAGTGAGTTCGAGGTGATCGGGATCGGTGGTGCGGGGGCAATGGCAATTAGCTGGCCGAAACACCTCCGAAAGATATTCCCCGAAAAGTGATTGATAATCGTCGTACATAACTGCAAACAGAAATAACAAACCAAACGAGAGAATCAAAATTTGTGGTAATTATTTATTCAGATATTCCCCCGGCGAAGTTCACTTCGGTTCCATTGGAAGATTCCTCAACCAATAAAAATACGAAATAAAACCCACAACTTTAATGCCAACTGAAGTGAATAACACGATAATTAAACACATTTTTCTTAGAACCAACCACACACATCAGAAAAAACCCCAAAGCTATAATTTTGGTAATTTATTTATGCAAAGTAAAAGGAAGTTATGCAACCCCCAACTCCCGTCGAAGATCTCGCCAGAAAACAGCAATACTGTCGATAAGAATATTACAAAAGCACATACAAACATTTATCAACTTTAATTAGTGCTAATCGCGGTGTGCAAAAATAAACACACAGGAAAACACTTAAGCAAATAAATAAACGAATAAGTAACGACCCGTACGTGATTCAAGCGATTGCAGCCAAAGTATTTTTTAACTCCTCAAAACTGACTGCATCTTAAGTGAATAATGTTCTCTTAAGTGATTTATGGCAGGTGCTTTTATTGTTGGTAGTTATTCTTATGTTGGAATTAATTTTTCAATCGTCACGAAATCGAGTGTGACCAATTGCAAAAGCTTTACACAATAATGAGCTGTACCTAAAAATATTTATTTACGTGATGTTTCCACTGGTAACTAGTTTTATTACAAGTGCTGCCAATTAGAACACAAACTCAAATGCCCTGTAAAGGGTATTCACCCACACAACTTCAAGTCGAAATCTTGGTAATTTAAACCGAACAAACAAAAACTTTTTGATAAGACTAAGGCCAAAGAATGAATTGGCCGAAAAACACGTAAAATGCTCACAAAAAGATGATAGCCGTATATAAGAAATGATATGGTTGTGGAATGCTCTGTTTTGATAAGTTTTATGGAGTATTCTTCAGGCCATACCTTTGATTTAGTCTAGTTGGAGGGTTCTTTAGAGGTGGAATTTAATAGGATTGACTTGCGGTAACTGTGTGTGTTTGTTTCTAATGTAAATGCAATGAAATCGATGTCGTAATCCTAATTGAATTCCATGCGAATTCCGCAGTGCTTCAAGCGCTGGATGCGCCCCTATATCTGCCTCATGGAGCTGCCAATCCATCGACCGGGAAGTGGAAACCTGCTGCTGGGACTCACCTCCGTGGTGGGTCTCATCGGAGGCGCCTACCTGCTGCAGTGTGGCGCCCAGCGGCTCTTGGGGTGAGTTAATCAAATGGAGATAAATCAAAATATTGAAACCGATGGCTGCAAGTTCGGATACGTGAGCCAAACTCAAGATCCGCACGTGCAGATGCAGTCTATATGCACTATGCATCTTGCAGATACAAAAGGCAGTGCGAGATAAATCCGAAATAGAAACTGAAACTAAACTTTCTTGACTGCAGCTTCAACCCGGTTACGTGTCCATCGTTTCGCATGACTTGATTGCGTTTGCGTGTGGGAAATGGCCAAATGAAAGAGATTTGACATAATTACTGCCATTTCTCCAGCCTCCATTTGCCACTAGGTATTTGCCACTTGGCTGGGATGCAGTTGCTCACTTTGGTCATCGGGTACGCGGCTTCGCCTTAATTAGGGATTGCGCAATCCACGCCACCTGTTTCGAATTTATGCTGCACCTGTTTGGCTCTATCGATGGCCTGCGGTCCGTTAGACATTACGTCTCATAACATTCCCAGCCCAGACGAACTGTCATTGACTCTTCGCCAATTTGGCCATAAGAACCATAGAATCTTGAAGAATGGCATGGCCAACGGAAGTCGTTGGCCAACAAAGGGCACTGCTTTCCCCCTCTCTACGCGTTTTCCTTAAAAAGCGTCACAAATTGCCAATAACAATTAGCCGTGGCCAACAACGCCCCTCGATTGTTTGCCTTCGTCACCATTCAATGGCAACTTAATTAGCCGCTTTGTTGACATTTTTATTTGTATTACTTCTGTTGCGGTAGTTACTACTGTTGCGATAGTTACACATCATTTTTGAGTGTATTAGCGTACTGTGCGTTTCGCAATTGTAGGGTTTTTGGGAAGTCCCATTCATTAATGCAAAAAAATAAACAAATATAAGGTTACAAAAATGGGGTGTAAACTATGAGAGTGTACACCTTGAAAAATGGGTAGATCATGACCTCAACTTTATTAAATAGACTAAAATTGTAGTTTTAGGTAATATATTACGTAAAAACACACAACCAACAACCTTTTGACTATTTTCCATCTTTAATTATATCAAAAATTACATAAAAATAGTCCACTATACTAAACACAGTTCTGGAGAATTCTAAAAAATAATTCGTTTGCCGCAGTGCTAAGTGCTTTCATAGATCAGTGGGTTGCCGATTCTATTCTTTCGTAATTTTATGTACTTTTTAATATTTTTGTAATAAAAAACGCATCTATCAAATCAAAATTATACGATTATTTAGTTATGATTTAAATGGACTTAAAATAACTTAGTAACAAATTTTCCTAACCTACCAAGTAAATAACATAACCAATATGTCTGTTCTCAATTTTACACTTAATAGGTCTTCTTAAATGTGTATCCCAGTTACAAAGTATTAAATAATTTCAGTGTACTTTTAATTCACTTACCAATTACCGGGCTTTAAAGACGTCTTGATATTATAAATGTCTCTCAAAAAAGTAGCTTACGCTTAATCCCAAACAAGTTGTGGAACTGTGGAAAGTCAGACAAATGCAATTAACGCTGCCCGATGGCACAGCACAGATATGCACAGATATTCTGGGTTTTTATTTGCTATTAAAGTGAGAACAAACGAGTTATGTTAGCCTTGTGGCAAGTGAAAAGCCGCAAAAAGTTATATCCGAAACATTTCAACAGTCGAAAGTGGGATCTAAAACCGCATGTGAGAGTGAGAATCATAACAAGTTGAAGGCGAGAAATGTGTGCGAAATATAAAAACAATAGCGAATATATCCATATAGGATTTAGCAGTGTTATTTTCTATCTGGTTTGTGGTAAAAGGTGCTGAAAATATGTTTGCCCATAACGCAAATATTTCAGTGCCTGCTTTTAGGCTTTACTTGTAAATTTTTAAATTTTATTAAACATATGGGCAAGGAAATAAAGATATTTAAAAGAAATCTAAGATACGGTCAGTGATGATCTCACAAAAAATGATGATCAACTTCTAGACAATAAAAACTTGATTACTCCTATCACAATAAAACAATTTATAATGCCACTTACTCAGAACTCAGTGTTCTACCAAGAATTTATAATCATTTTCAAGTTCTGGGAATTTCCGGAGCTTGTGTTATCAATGAAGCGTGTGTGAAAGCTTTCGGCCTGGTTGAGGTATTAATAAAGACGGAACCTGAGGGCTTAACGCTTTCTCGTGCGGGAATATGCTAATGGGATACATGAGACATACATATATTAACCCAGATTCTCAGCACAGATTTCTAGGGAATCTCAAGACATCGGATACGGTCTTTTTGAAAAATGTTCCCCGGGTTTTAGAACGATGAAAGTGTTGCCGCTTGATGGCGCCATTTATTGCCAAAATAATGATTAAAATAAATTCGAATCCGGCAAGCAGTCGATTGATTAGTTTATAAACCGCTCGCAGCATGAATACATTATTTTTTGCTAGACAAGAATTAAGCTAACTCGTTTGCGGAATGTTTCTCACCATTAGCATATGGAAATTAATGAAGCTCGGGGCAAGAAGGCGATCGGGAAAAATATTGGCAAAAATAAATAAGTAGACAAATGAATGCAGTGGACAGCCGATGATGTGGACTGGTGAATATCTTCCCCCGAACCGAAACGGTTCCTGCTTGACCAGATTTCCAAATCTGGGGAGTTGGGTCGTTGGGGAGGTGGCATAAGCACCAGAGATCGGAGAAGAAAGGCGATAAATCTGCATGGAAATATGCACAGTCATGGCTTGGATTCCGCTATATAGACCTGTTCGACGGGATCGTGTGCAGGGGAACTTACTTACGTCATTAACGAGTTTGTTTAGCGATAGAGAGGGAGAGGTTCCCGCTCTCCACGACGCAAACCGGCATGGGATATGGTATGGATATGTACAAGGCGTTTGGATCTACGGAGAGACTATCGCCATTGAGACCCGATCCGATCTCAGCTGTTGACCGCCGACTCTCAAAGCCAACTGCGCATAACAAAGGCGAACCTTGTGCGAGAAAGTTGTCAGTGTCGTGGGACGCGGATCGCGATTTGATAGCAATTTGGCATTAAGTGCTTCCATTGGCGAAATCGGTTCAACGCGATTGCCATGCCAAAAAATCCCAGTGAGCCCAGCGTCGCTAATCAGTCGACAAACATTTCGAATACCTGAAAACCCGATCATCACATCTGGAAACCCGGACTACAAACAGAACCAGGCAGCAGACACACCGGGCTATCCGAGATCCAGGGAGAGAATGCTGTTCTCCGCGGTGGTAATCTGCCAGGTGGAGCGGCTGATGTGCATGCCCATTAGCTTCGCGGTCCTTGGATTCCTCTTCATGGCCTGCACCATGGAGGTGGTGCTGCTCAAGATGACCACCAGTGACCCGGTCTTTGGGCCCCCAGCCGAGGATTGGGAGGAGAATGGGGGTCCGGATGGCGAGGAGCAGATCTACTACGAGAATCTGGAGAACAACTACGAGCACTGGGCCCGCCGCAGGATGAGGTTCCACCAGCGCCAGCAGCAACAGCAACAGAACCATCTGCCCACCTAGGATAACTTAAGCTTAAATTTACGAGTATACTATATTTAAGTAGATCGGTATAAGCGGGTATACTGACTGAGCTTCTACACCTTATGTATTCGATTGTTTCGCCAGTGTAATGTTTTCGCTAGCTGTTTATGGTTGAAAATTTTCCTTAAATTATATTTGTTTGTTTTATAAGCGAAATTGCGATTTTTGCCATTTGAATAAGTAAAGAGGCGAACCGATTGGCAGTTGCTCATTCGGAGCACGTACAAGACACCCAGGAATTCCCTTCTTCTCTCTATTGTGTAAGAACTGTAAGTGACTGACATAATCCGAATGCATATCGAGACAGTGCGTCTCCCTAGATTGTAGTTGTAAGCTGTGTGATAGAGCTACATGTACTTTGAGCCATGCGATAGAGTAGGTTGATTAAACTTGGCTATAAAACCCCATTCAGATTTTGTTTGCCTGGTCCAACGGGTTTGTGCTGTTGTTATGCAATGTTTTGCTGGGATAACAACCGGGGAGAAAGTCAATTGCCCCATGCAATTACAGTTGGGTGGAGCTGGAGCCCCGACTGTTTGTTTCTGGGGGAAGTGCCTTGTTTTGCTGGGTTCAAAAGTTAGGCAACACGATCGATAGCCACCGGCTAATTGGCTGATTTTTAGCCAGCGACCTTCTGGCCGTTGAATAACCCCAGCTGTTCAGTAGAACTGACCTGACTAATCGTCGCGTTTTGGACTTGGTCGTTCTCGAAATAACATCTGCGACCCCTTCCGCCTTATTTCTTGCAGCAAACTAGCCCATAAGAAGTGGAAAAGGGAGGAGAAGGACTCCAGCGAGGATCACAACTGCAACGTCTGCTGTGCGGACCTGGATCTGAGCAGTGCCAAAAAGTGAGTAGCAGTCGAATATCTGCCATATCACCATATCTGAGTAATACCCGAAAATACCTGTTTGATTATATTGATACTGCTGATATTTATCAGAGCTTCAAGATCTATTGGTTTGCTGTTTAAATATTCTTACGTTTTAGCGGGACAGGTTCATTATACTTATATGCAAAAATATTATATTAATAGGGAAAGTAGAAAGAGAAAGTAACATGTCATTGTCGGGTTGAATATTAATAAAATGAGTATAGGCTTATCATTCGGACGATAAAAATAGTTCTGACTTTATAATTACACGTGTAATTAAAAGAAATCAAGGAATAGATAAACACTCGAGGACAATATATATGGGTTTTTTTAGAGTGCATTTTAATGTTTTAACACTAGGATCATAAAACATTTGATTTAAGTTATGTGAGAATAAAGTTTAAATAAGTCTTTTTCTTAATTTAAAAAAATATATTTTTTAAATATTTAAAGAGATATTTTGTCGATAATAAATGTGGAATAAAAACATATTACATATACTTTTTAACCAGAGTGGGGGATCCCCTATACCCCCCAGTGGATCCGCTCATGATTCTGGTTATATATTTTGAATAATTCGACTACAAACTCCAGAAACACAAGGTCGTCATTACACAGAACGGAATTCTCTTCCGTTCGCATGTCACCAGTTATTCAAATCGATGTTGAATATTTATATTACCTTCTATTTGACAAAATTTTTTGCTGCGCATCAATAGAGAGTTAAAACACAAGACCTTTGGTAATAAAATTTTTGCAAATTACTTAGACAACGTGGAAATAACCCCTTTAGATAAGCAAACCTAGAAGAGGAATTAGAGCTACGTATTCCAAAGCTTTATTACATTATTATAGACATTTCAGACAAACGACCTTAAAAAGTAGTGAATTTATTACCAATTTAAGTACCGTTTTTCGACTTCCCAGCTACGTGACATGTTGCACCTGCGGGAAATCCGTGTGCCGCGGGCCAAAGTGCGCCGACTGGCGGCCCAAGGACGCCAAGTGGGAGTGCCAGCTGTGCCAGAGCTCCAAGGAGTCGCTGGCCCACACCTCCTCGTGGGTGGCCGAGCAGATGTCCTTCAACCAGCACAAGTTCGTCTATCCGATGCGGGCGCGGAGTGAGGTCTACATACCGATTGTGGGCGATGGCAACGACAGCAGCATGCGTAAGTGCAGTCCTTAAATATTAATGTGCGGTATACTTAATATCGATTTGCAGAGTTCGAGAGTGTTAGCCAGATTGGCCAGACTGCCAGCATGGACGAGCGGGCCAAGATCCGCGAGTACGTCGAGGAGATCGTGGCCGAAATGCTGGGCGGTAATTTGGACCACATCAGAGTGGGGCAGCTGTCCAAAAGCGAGAACTGTAAGTACGGTTCGATTAATGCAAATGCAATTCATGTAATTGGTGCAAATCCAAATTAATTGGCGGGGCAACATTTTTGGGTGTTGTTTTCAAGTTTCTTATTTTGTTTGTTTAATAAAAAACAGTTTTTTTGTTTTAATTCAAAGATGATTTTATAAGAATTAAATTTCAATCTTTACTTGCAATCAATAATGAAAATTTTTTGAAATAAAATCTACCTTCGCAAAAATAAAATATATTTCAAGACCTTTTTGTAGAACAAAATATTTAATTTTAATATTAAACACCAGAATTTAGAAATTACAAAAATACAAAATTATACATACATATTATTTTTGTTTTTTTTAAATCTATTTATTGTTTTTATAATCTAATTATAGTAGCTTATAATTAAATTATACAAAATTATTTTTTTGAAACACCTTGGCAACAAGTCAAACCCTTGGCAACAATGATGCTGCAAGTTTGGAAACAAAGTTGCACAGCATACCGCTAAAGTCAAATCAAAGCATACTTTTAGGCGAGCTTTTTAAGTGAGAGCTTGCTGGAAAGTCTTTCTGTCCATTTTGTTTTGTTCGCTTTTTAACCAATATTTGCACACCCACACAACACATGACACACACATACACCATACACACACCACACACTTGCAATCAGACTTGCAACTCTTTGATAAATTCCATGCGAAGCTGAGTAACCTGCTTATCAATGTGGAAAACAGTTTGTGCGCGCGTGCGCTCAAGGGAGGTAAGTAATCGGTAATCGATAGTCACTAATCGATCGAGCTCGCACGCTGTAATCGCCTGTTTTGTACGCTAACCTTTGTCCTGTCGATTCGTAGTTTCTCTAGGCAGTATCTTTAATAGCTGATAGTTTATTTGTGTATGTGCCATGAATACACTCTATCTTATCAAGTGCTGATATCCTTTTCAAGAAATTGTGTAATTTTTATCCGGCTCTTTATCTATTTATTATTATTGGTATTTTATATAATGTTAAATAAAACGATTTCAGTTTCGACCAAGGTTTTTCTTTTCTCATTCTTAGCTAGCAGAACGTTTGTAATTTTAAAAGATAAAGGGCTCAAACGTTGTTGTTTGATAAAGAAAAGTTGAAAATATTTTGAGCATGATTCTATTATAAGAACAACACAACCAAGAACCAATTAAATTTATTAATTTCATAGATTATTAAAGTGTACAAGTTTATCATTACCGAGATAAACCATAATAACAGTGCGTCTGCTTTTTTAACCTTGGCATGTACACAATGTTCCGCATCCGTAGACCCTAAAGCAAATCTATGAATCAATGATTGTAGGTGTAGTAAATGCTAGTTCTTATCACTAGACAATAATCAGAGCGTCCAATTAAAATGGCAAAGCAACACTGTGTAACACGCTCCCCCTCTCTTTGAAATCGCGGTCAATGCTTGTTGATAAGAAGCGGCAAAGAGTCAGCTCGTCGGTGATAAGACCCCCGAGCTTTGATAAGGCTTTTCAGCTATTGAAGTGCCGATGGCAGCGAGAACATTATGATACAACGCTGTGCAGGTACTTTTTCAAGTACAAAATCCCAGCCTTAGCTCGGATGACAGACAGCGATAGACATTAATCATACGCACCGTTGGCGTGCATTGCTCACCAACAGGTTTCGTAAACACAGAAAATTGGCGTAAATGTCTTACTTACAAGATCACTCAAGGGGTTGTGTTTTAACAAGCGATTGATTTGGTCACGCTCACAGCTTAGTTCGGCAATTTGGGCCCCAAAACGCTGGTGAATAACGAAGTTAAACTTCGCCTTTCGGCCAAATCTCACAATCTGGCCCACTGTAGGCCCTCCATACGTGCACAAAATATGAACTGAAGTGTGTGAGTGAGCGTTTAGACGCTCGCCGCTCACCGCTTACCGCTCGGCAATCGCCGGCACCGCTTCAGTTGCCAGAAGCGCCGCGCCGTGATCGTAACGCCAATTGAGCTACGGGCCAAAAGAGTCCGGCTGAAACGCGTGTGATAACATGGGATATAGAACAACATACTACCCTCGCACATAGAACAAGAATTCGGGCCAGCAGATAGAGGAACTTTTCCACCTTCAGAGATAAAGCCCCAAAACAAACAGACCAAGAGACCGCATTAAGTGATGAGCTATCAGCAACCTTGACCCGACACTAAGTTGGCTTGGCAAAATATAAAAATGAGCAAAAATAGAAATCAATAATCGTGAGGTAAAACAACGAGCGACAGACGAGGAAGAGACCTTAATCAACGCTAATAAATATTAATGATATTAATAACGATATCCCCGCTTAGAGCTCTGAATGTGTAATCCCGAGATTAACAACAAATTATGATCGTGAAAATGATGATCGCGGACTTTCAACACGTTTCCGTAACCAAACTCACGGGCTGTAGTTAATGTCTGACCTTACCTAAGTAAAACCTTTTAACAGAGTAATACGTTGTGCACCCAACTTATCGCGGGCCCAGTTAACCGATCGATGTCGGAGCAGTCTGAAGGGGTATTATCGGTCCACTTAAACCCACTAGCAGGGCGGGAGTACTAAATATAAAAAGTGGAAAATAGCGAGTGATAATTGCCCGAGTGATTTCTTCTGAACCCTGAACTTTGGAGTCGTAGTCGTATAATAATCTCAGACAATGAGAAGCGATCCGGCTGGTTCTGTCCTAGGGGCCAGTTTCTGGCGCTATTTCCATTGATGACTAGTGCGTTAATGAATGCCTGTTCTGGATACAAAAGTTTGTGTCTCTGACATTTTTGCACACCTGAATGAGTAACGGGGGACTAGCCATATATCTATGTATCCATTCAGCCAGCTAGACAACCAGCAGATAAAGAAATATGGGCGGCTTTGTAACGCAAAATAGATAACTCGGGGTTATTCATTATGCGATGTGGTATTTACCGCAATACGTTAATAGACTTAGCATGTCAAAGAAAATGATAAATATGCGAACCGTAGTCGCGATTTTCAGCCTGAGTGAGTTGTTCGAAGTTTGGAGAGCTCAGGTTGCTCAAGCGTTTAAGGGGAGGCGGTGACACATTTATGTTCGGAGCTCAATTAGGGGAACAAAGCCTACGGAAAGAAAAAAAATAACACTCAAATGTTTGCTCAATATAATTAACAGCTCAGCCGACCGTTATATCAATGAAAGCTCTAAACAAAACCGAAATACAAATACGAACTCAGCAAACGTAAATAAACAAATAGGCGAGATATCAACGATTCAGCGGTATCAGACGTGCATATACGATATTTGCGAATATATATCTAGAGATATATCTTAGATATACATATGTATGCATGCAGCATGGACTTTACTTTGGGCCTAGTCACTGGCATGTATGCCGTTGTGGCCGTAATTGTCTTTTACGTGGTTTACGTCATTGAGGTGAAATTAGGTATGGCTAAAACACTCACACACTCACTTACTTTCTTCGCCTTTCACACTCACTCACACACACTCACACCCGCCCAGAAGTAACCGAGTTTTCACTTTTAATTGTATCGATCTCTGCTAACCAAGCATATGTTGTTAGTGCATGGTATTGGCCAGCATTCTGGGTCTTGCACGATTTTTGCTCACAACGCTCCACACTTGCTTTCAGATCTGCCGGCCATCGTAAATGGCCACAACAGCGGCAATGGCTTGGGCCATAATAATAATAACAATAACAATAACAACAATGCTGATTCCGAGCTGGCCGACATCTCGCAGACCCGACTACGCAGTCTCATCGAGACCATCATAGCGGAGACCCTGCGAAGCACCTCCCTGAGTGCCAGTGGAGCTGTGTCGGAGATCAGCCTGGACACCAGATCCCACGCCTCCGGAAATGGTCTAAAACGGCGACATCGCACCGAGCACTACTTCGAGCCGAAGATCTACCAGGATCTGCTTGCCACGGCGGTGCTGAATAAGGTAAGCCGCGCTGACCTGTGGTCTATGATACCACCTGTGGTATCTCGACTGTCAACCCCCTCCCCTCTGGAAATGTAACCACTTTGTAAGCCCTGTTCTCGGGCCATTTCCGCCATTTTAACTGGCCCCCCTCCCCGTGCAGTTTTCCCTTTCGTTCGACCTGCACTTGGGCGGCTTCGATTTTCCAGTTGCCACATCGCCGAAACGGACCAGGCTAATTAGTTGCAGTCCATTGTCTTGCCTGTGCAGACGTTTTAGCCAAACAACCAAACAGCAGCAGCGGAAGAATACTGAAATCAAACCCATCGCTAATTGGATAAATCCATTTGTTGGAAAATCGAACAGAGTTTCATCAGCCGAATCAGGATCATGGCTGATCCAGGGGATAAAGTAAATAAAGTACCAGAGAAATATTCGAGGGCACCTGGTGAAATGAATCAGCTAGCCATAATTTCGTCATTGCGATCGTATCATGGCGCCACCGATCCAGTCAGCATTGAACTGCCCAATTTCCTTATCAAATCGCTTTCTGCAACCTGGCCAGCGATTAACTTCGTCACGGCACTCAATCAATATTGGCTGGTAATCGATGACGAAACCAGTGAATGGTCGTCAAGTGTCGTCGAGTGGCTAGTTAAATATTGCCGGGTATAATCAGCTTAAGGGCTTTTTTTGTCGCACAAGCAGTTGACCCACAACAAATCGGGAACTCTGGGGTTCAACAACACTTTTATTGCACAATGCCAAGGTCGATGGGCTCAAAATTTGCTCTTTTCTTTTTGCGTTTTCTTTTTCCCAGATTGCGGATAAGGAAGGTAATACAAGGCTATTGGCAGAGAGTACGCCGGACTTGAGTGGTCGCCACATTGACGAGAATTTCAATGCCGAAGCGCTGAGCACCACGTCCGGAAGCTCAATAGAACCCCGTAGTGATTGCAGCCTCACGGATCATGAAATCGGACTGGATGTAGGTATAAAGAGTATGCAATAGTATAGTATTATCATCGCAATGGTTTACAGAATGGCAAATCCCAATCCCTGCAAACGGACTTGGAAAGGGAATCAGTCCTTAGTGATTATATAGCCGCACATATGGTGCCACTGCCAGACTTTTCGGCATCCGTCACCGAATCCGAGGATGGTAAGTAATGGCTACTGCCTAAAACCCTGTGTCCAAAGTATCTATCTGTTATTCCCCCTCTCTATTAGATATTGGATCCATCTCCTCGGGTATGATCGGTGATGGAAACTGGGAAGACAACTGGCTCTTTAAGAAGAAACGCAGCTCGGCCACTCCGAGCAGCATTGGCATGCTAGTGCCCGCACCCACGGAGAATGTCCGGGCCCAGATTGGCGATAAGACCACCGACGAGGTCAGCGATCTCTCGGAGATGGGTTCGGACATTGAGGAAAGCTCCCTGGATCTACTGCGATGCAACGACCTAAACGATCGTCTGCTGAGCAAGCACCTGATTGGTGGCCAGAACACTAAGCTCGTCCTCGATGAGCTCGTAGATCGTACGAGTCTTACATCCCACACATTGCTGGAGGAGCACGAGCCCGCATTTACGGAGACAACCAATGAGTTTGTGGTGTCTCCCATGGCCGTGCCATCTGATATTAAAGCTCCATCTCCAACACCGCCACCACCACCAATGATATTCCAAGATGACCTACTGAATGAGGAGCCAGACCACACTCCCATTGCAGGTAATTTTTTTTCAATCTCTCCTGTGTACCTCCAATTATTGTAACTCATTCTTACTGCTAAGACTTGGATTAACCCCTAGACCTAGAACATTAAACCTTAGATCGTTGATACCATCTCTGATTTAGACAGTCCGAAACCCTTCCCTTTAGTAGCTCAGCCCACTTGTGCGTGATCTTAAGGCATCGGCACTTAGCAGTCGTTTGTGTTACAGCCCAAGACGAAACCGAGGAGCTGTCCAGCCTCGAAGGCTGCACTGGCTTCAGCACAGTCGAGTACCTCGACGAGGAGCAAATGCACGAGACCGTGCCATCGGTCATCGAGATCCTAGCAGCCATGGCCCTGGGACCCATGCTAGCGGTTCCAGCATCTGAACAGCCAGGCGCCATGACCCCCAGTGAGATGCACACCCTCAAGGAGCTGAGTGACTTGGCCCTCGCCGAGATTAACGCTCGCACCGTGGACCTGATGCACGCACACTCGCTGGACATTATTGAAGAGGAGAACTCGGAGCCTTCAGACACTGTCTCAAATCCACAGTTGGATATTCTACAACCTCCACCACTCGCAGAGATATCGATTCCATCTCCAATGCCTTTGCAAGCGGAGGAAAGTGTTGTTCAAACAGAAGTACTACCACCCCCTCCAGCTTTAGAACTTGTTTCTGAGTATGAACCTCCGCCTCCGATGGAAGTTGTTCAAGAGACTGTGGATCTGCCAAGTTCTGCAGAAGTTGTCCATATAGGAGAAGATACTGCGACTGCGGGGGAGGCTTTAGAGACGGAATCTGCCGAATCTGTAGTGAACTCCTCCGAAAATCAACCAGTGCCGGTGGACATTAATCAAGAAACTCAACCCGTTTCTGTGGATATACCACCGTCTTTGCAGACTGTCACAGAGCCTCATTCAGACTTGGAATCTGAGGAAGTTGTTTTAGAAATAAAATCAGCAGTGGTGAAAACCATATCGCCTATTGAAATTGATCCAGAAACTCAATCTATAGTAGTGGATCTACCAGTTCCCATGGAAATCGTCACAGAAATAGATCACGTTACCATCGTTCCAGAATTGCCATCTGATGTAGTGCATCCCTCCGAATCTATAAATGTGGTTTCAGTTGATATCCAAAATATTCAAGTTCTGGAAATTATTGCAGACGATCCATCTAACACTGCGAGTCTCCCAGCAACTATAGTGGTTAACACTCAGTCAGATTCCCTTGGAGAAGAACACTATCCCGAAGCCCAACTAACCGCAGAGGAGTCAACGACAAATGTAGCAGAAAACGATGCACAGGAGGACTCTTTCGCTGTAACAGCAGTTCCTCCAGAGCCTATTGAAATTGTTTCAGTCGATTTGCCAGAGTCCGGGAAAATTGTTTTAGAAGCACAGCCTTTTGTAATGGATATACCAGCGCCGTTAGAAACTCTTCCAGAAGCACAGCTCTTTGTAGTGGATATACCAGAGTCGTTAGAAACTGACAAAGAAATGGCTATAGCAAAAACTATAGAAGATGAGCCACAAATAGCATCTGTCCCAATGGAATCGGTTCAAGAATCCGTAGTAGTGGAACCACAATCACCGGAGGAAGTTGAACCCCTAAATGAATCTGTTGCATCACAACCCCTGGAAAATATTTTAGAAGAGCAAACGGATTTTGAGCCTCATCACGTTGCAGTCGATTCATCACCACCTATAGAAGTTGTTTCACAGGCAGAATGCATCGATGTGAAACCATCAGCATCTTTGGATACAATCCCTGCAGAAGTAATTCCACCTCCAATAGAAGTTATTGAACTCTCAGCTACTGAGGAAGTATTGCCAGAACCGCAATCGGTCACATTGGATCCACCAGTTATTGTAGAAGGAGTTTTACAGATAGAATCTGCCGATACCGAGCCGCCAGAGCCTTTGGAAATTATTCTTAGATCCGATCCCCCAGTTCTGCAACCCCCTGCGGAAGTGGGTTGTCTATCTGAGTTTGCACCAACAGAATCACCAGCGTCAGTGGAAACACAATCTGTTGTTAACGAAACTTCTCCACAGACATTAGCTGAAGTACAATTAGTGGCAATTTCGACCCCTTTGAAAATAATTCCGCAGGAAGAATCTTACACAGTGCAGCAAACATCACTTATCGAGTCAATACCTTCGGTGGAAACAATTTCAGAATTACAAACCCCAGATCCAGTCACCTTGAATGTTCCAGAGGCTGTGGAAATTGTTCCAGAAATGCAGGCCGTTACAGAAGAGCAGTTATTGACCATGGAAAAGGAGCTAAAACTTCAATCTATCGTTTCGGACCCACAATCACCCAATGATGTTGAACCTCATATAGAATCTGTCGATGTGGAATTGCGCTCCGAAGCACAATCTGTTGTTAAGGAAACTTCTCCAGAAATGTTACCTGAAGGACAATTCGTGGCCATTACGACCCCTGTGGAAACAATTCCTCAGGACGAATCTGTCGTAGTGCAAACATCGCTTATCGAATCAATAGCTCCTGTGGAAACAATTTCACAGTCACAAGCACCTGAACCAGTCACCGTGAATGCTCCAGAGCCTATAGAAATAGTTCGAGATAAACTTGCTGTTACAGAAGAGACGTTGTCGGTCATGGAAATGGAATCACAACCACAGTCTATTGTTTCGGGTCCACCACCCAATGAAGTTGTCTCTCAGGTAGAAGAGCCCCTAGTATCGGCAGAAATTCTTATCCCGGATGTGCCTACGGAGATAAATTCTGAAACCACTGATCCTATTCAGCAAGCGGAGATCGTGAATTTACCTGCACCAATGGAAATCATTGCAGAAACCCAACTCGCAGAAAACGAAACTCCAACGTCTTCTGAAATTGTTGCCCAAGGTGAATCTGTCGCACTACCCCAATTGATTCCAGAGTCCGGACCTATTGCAGTGGATCCTCCATCGTCGATAGATGCTGTTCCCCAAGCAGACCCTGCCACCATAAGTTCACCAACGACTTCGGAAATTGTTCCAGAATCCCAACCCGCCACAGTGGATCCTACAGCGTGTAATGAAATTGTTCCAGAAAACATCGCCATAGAACCCCAACCGCTTGTGGAAATCAATCCAGAAACGCAAACCATCGCTGCCACCATAAGTTCACCAACGACTTCGGAAATTGTTCCAGAATCCCAACCCGCCACAGTGGATCCTACAGCGTGTAATGAAATTGTTCCAGAAAACATCGCCATAGAACCCCAACCGCTTGTGGAAATCAATCCAGAAACGCAAACCATCGCTGCCACCATAAGTTCACCAACGACTTCGGAAATTGTTCCAGAATCCCAACCCGCCACAGTGGATCCTACAGCGTGTAATGAAATTGTTCCAGAAAACATCGCTATAGAACCGCAACCGCTTGTGGAAATCAATCCAGAAACGCAAACCATCGAAATAGATATACCTGTTCCGGTGGACGTTGTTTCAGAATCAGAATCTGTCACTGTAGATCAAGCGGAAATCATAGAACTTATTTCAGAGATCGAATCTGTCGATGGGGAATCCCAAGTGCATCAAGAAAATTCTCCAGAACGACAACTACCGTCAATAGTTGCTGGTCAATCGGAATCTGTGCCAATGGAAGCCTTAGAGCCTGTCGAAATAGTTCCAGAAGTCCTAGCTACTACATTAGATTTAACAGTATCTATTAAAGCTGTAGAAGGCGCTCCTGGTGAAATTCCTCCCATGTCTCAAAGCGTCGGAGAGGAATTGCCTACGCCTGAAGAAAATCTTCCAGTGACGGAATCTCTAGCACCATTAGTTCCTGAAATGACTATTGCTCCACAGATAGATTTAGACAATGTGGAAACCCCAGTACGTGTGGAAGTACCGACTGAACCTGTTGCCGTGGAATCCCCAGACCCAGCGGAAAATGTTCCAGACATACAAACCGCCACAGAGAAATCGGCGACATCCGACGCAGCTGATTCTTTGCCTGTGCAAAGTGAGATACTGCTTGCAAAAAACCATCAAGACGTAGAACCGGTTCTTGTGGAACCTCATACTTCGTTTGATATTTCTCAAAACGAATCTACCTCTGTGGAACCTAAAGCTTCCATGGAAATTCTTTCCGAAGCAGAGTCTATTACATCTGTTCCAGCTCCTAAAGAAGTTCACCAGGAATCACAGTCGGTAGTAGTAGATCCACCAGAAGTTATAGATGTAGTATCTCAAAAAGAAGCTGTCGAGGAAGAACATCCCAATCGATTGGAAATTGATTCAGAGCCACCAACCGTTGAACCGCAGACTGCAGAGCGTGATGTCGCTATGGATCCCACAGCGCCTGTGGAAGCCGTTTTAGAAACACAGTTGGGGCTTGTAGATCCAAAAATATCCGTGGAAGATGTTCTTGAAGCTATCTCTGCCTCTGATAGCCAACTAATAGATGAGAACAGTGCCCCTGCTGATACATCAGATTCCGTTATAGAAGAATGTTCAGCACCAGCAGAAAGTGCTTTAGAGGCTGAATCTCTTGCAACCATAGAGGCTGCTTTAGAATCTCAATCGCTCTCTTTGGACACAAACAATCCTATAGAAATTGTTTCCGACCCAACATCGAACGCTGTTGATCCTGAAATCGCTTTAAGCCCGTCAGAAACAACAACACAAATAGAATCCGTAGAGGTGGAAGTCCCTGAAAATTTGGAAAGTGTTTCAGCGCCTATGGAAATTCTTCCAGAAGAGCAATTAGTGGCAGAGGATGCAGGAAAGGAATTACTGACGAGTTTTGAAACAGTGTCAATCGCTTTAGAAACGAAATCCGATGAAATGGATCCTATAGACCCTGAAGTACTGGGTTTTCAAGCAGCAGAGGTCGCTGTAAACGTACCGGAGCTTGCGGAAAGTGTTCAAGAAAAACATTCCCATAATGAAGAAACTTTGGTTTTTGAGAAAAGGTTTTCCAATGTGGATCCTCCAGAATCTTTTGATGTAAAACCTCAACCGACCGAGGATATAGTAACCCAAGTTATTCCAGAGGAAGCACCAAGTTCTGCGGAAATAATATCAGTAACAGATGTATGCGAGCCGATTAAGGAATCAATAACTCATGTGGAAACTTTGCCTGAAGATCAAACCGTCCTAGTGAATATTACAGATCGCATGGAGACTGAATCATTAGTTGAACCTCTTGAACCTCCATCAACCATAACAGAAGTAACACAAGTGAAACCAAAAGAGCCTGTAGAAATTAACAACAAACCTGAAGAAGTAGCCGTAGCAGTGGAGACTACAGCTCCCGTGGAGATTGATCTAGTAGTTGAACCCACTGCCTTGACTTCTTCAACAATTACAGAAGTCAAGGATGAGAAACCCACAAAGCCTATTGAAATAATCGCGGAACCTCCATCTGTCGCAATAGAATCAACGGAATCTCCAAAAGTGGTTCTAGACAGTGAATTCGTTGCGGCGAACTCTGTACAAGTTATTCCCGGCTCTGAATCTGATGCTGTGGAACTTGTTCCCCAACCCGAAGCTGCCGCAGGGGATCCACAAGAAACTATAGAAACTGTGCCACCGCTAGAATCTATCGAAGTCGATGAGCCAACGCCTACCCAAGATTCTTCAGGATATAAATCTGACACAGGTGATGTGGCACAGGCTGATCCTGTCGGAGGGGAACCCTTAGAGTCTGTGGAAATTATTCCACACGTTGTATCTGTTTCTGAAACTAAATTAGAGAAGCCAGCGGATGCAGATATTGCTCCGGACCCTGAACCCCTTGCTGTGACAATAAATTCGCAGGATATAGCTGTGACAATGGAACCCCTTAAGGCTGCCGTGAATGATATCCCAGAGTCTGCAGAACTTGTTCCAGAAAAAGAAGCTGATATTGAAATAAACCCAGAAACGCAATCTGCCGTAGCGGATTGCCCCGATTCTCAGGATGTTATTATAGAAACGGACTCTGTCGCAGTGATACCGCTTAAGTCGGTGGAAGCTGTTCCTCAGAATGAAATTGATGTTGAACCCATAGATCCTGTAGAAATTGTGCCAAAAGTAGAAGCAGTTGGAACAGAAGATGAGTCAGAAATCAAACCATCTGCAACTACTGAAGTGGACAATGTTAAACCCCCAGCATCTCTGCAAATTGATGAAGCTGTGACGCAGAATTCGCCTGTTTCTGTGACAGTGGTTCCGGAGGCGGTGGAACCTTTAGCTGCTGTTGAAGTTATTGCCCAAGCTGTATCTGCCTCTTTGGAGAAAACAGTATCTGAAGAGCCCATTTCTCAAACGGAATCTATCTTTGTGGATTCCCCACAACCTCTAAACGTTGGTCCTCAAGAAGATTCTGTTCCTACATCGCCATCAGTGCCCACAAGCTTTGAAACAAAACCTAACGACTTGGAACCCCAAGCTTCTGCGAAACTTGTTCCAGAAGCAGACTCAGTCACTGTGGATCCAACAGAAACTGCACAAGTTCTTTCATTAAATGGGATAATTGTTTCAGAGTCACAACTGATTGATTCGGAACACCCAGTACAAATGGAAAGCTTGCTTGCAGAACCGCCGGCATCGGAACCCCTTGAATCCGAACCGGCTGCACCGCCAACGCCAGTGGAAATTGTTCCTGAAATAGAATCTATAACAAAGGATACTATAGTTCCTGTCGAAACGGATACCCCAGTGGATTCCATCGTTTCTGTTGAAGTTCTGACGGATACAAAACATGTTCCAGTGTTACCACCAGTTGAACTGGAAGAATCGGAGAATGTCGCTCAAGAAGAACCATCTGCGGAAGATAACTCGAATGCTGTAATCCTTGAACCTCAAACTGTGGATATGGATTGCACTACGGAGGTGGAAACTTTAACGTCAGAGGAACCCAAATCAATTTCTACAAACAATTTCCAATCAGAAGGTATCCAAAGAAATGCATCAATAGACTCCGCCTGTTCCGCTCTAGGTAAAGCGACCCACAAGTATCTGCGAAGACAGCCGAATATTCTTGACACAACACCGAGCGATGGAGACTCACCCAAGAGAACCGAGCCCGTCAACCTCTTGGGGACCATTTGCAAGTTTTACATAAAAGACAAACGACTGCTGGCCACAATCGAACGCAGGCGCCACCGCTCTTTGATCATGCACAAGTACCTTAGTTCCTTTGATTCGATGGATGATAGCATAGAAGAAGTTCCCAATGATTCTCAATCCAACCTCTTTGAGGAAATGAATGAAGTTAGCTTAGCGTCCTCCACGGACTTGCAGCCCCCAACAGGTAGAGCAGAAACTCCAACTTCTGAAGTTGACCCAATTCGTTTTGTAGATGAATGTTTTGCATTTGATACAGATAAGACTGAAACTGATATGATAGATGAAATTAGCTTGAACACAGATAAATCTCAATGTTTGCTTAGTTCGAAAAACATGGTTGAATCCAATGTAAATGATTTAGAATCCGAAATCGAGTCAGTTAATGAAACAAGTTTAGATACAGATGCATCACACTGTTTTGTTAGTACAGAAAGCAAACACAAATCTCATGAATTTGAAAGTGAAACTGATATGACGGATGACGATTGTTTAGATATAGACGCATCAGAATGTTCTAACATCTCAGAAGATAAGCACGAAGATCATTTAAATCATTTAGAAGATGTAGTAACAGTAGGTGATAATATAGCCCTAAGATTAGATATGGCCAGCCAAACGTCCTGTGATATGTCAGAGGAACTAGATGTAGAATCGGATTCCATCGTTGCGTTTAGTTTGAGCGAAATCACCTATAACTTTATCAACGAAATTCTCTTCTCAGATCAACTAAGTTCAGAGTCAATTAAAAGCGATGAGAGTGAACCCTCCACTGCCTGTGAGACCTTCAATGCAGATGGTGACTCTGAGCAGGAGTTTGTTAGCGAGAGGGTTTTAGTCCTGGACGATCAGCGATCCCTGAATACTAACACTAGCTCTAACAACAACCTGCACAACCACATGCATCTTCCTCTAACCCAAACTAACCACCCGACCTCGGGCAGTAGACGCACTAACGGAAAACTAACAAATGGTTCCCTTCGATGGTCGGGTAGCTACTCTACCGAATTACCAAACAGTGGATCAATGGCTGTCCAACACGACGATGTTGCCGATGACGATGTTGTACTGTTGCGGCGCTTTGTGCCAGGTAACACACGGTTGTGGCCATAACTGTCATCACTCGGTGTTTGTTGTCCTCCCCGTCTGCTTTACTGTGTGTCTATGTTAGCATGGCTCTACTGTCTTTGTGTGTTGTGACCCGTCGAAGGCCGATCCCCAAAGAGTAGATTTATTTATCAATGAATCTTAAGAAACGAAAAGTAATTTATGGCATTTTCAAGGTTTTTAAACTTAAATCTGTGTTATAATGATATAATTTTGTCTCTATAAGAAAATATTTGACTAATTGTATATACATTTTTTTTGTTTGATTTTAAAACTATAGTCCATTAAAATTCACACTTCTTTGTATACACAACAGAGTTTAATAACATATGATATTTACTAACTTGCAATTATGAAATAAAGAAGATAGTATTGAATTTTAATGGGAATCAAACAAAAATAGTTTTTCTGGAGAAAAGTTTTGCTGTTCTTATGTTAAAAACGAGTTTTTAGGAGGGAAAAAGGCACAAATAGTTCATGCTTTACTTTCCGTTTGCTGTGGATTCCTCAGATAAATCGACTCACACGCTATATCTCCTACATTTTTTTTAACGAGCCCAATCGACACCAATTTTTAGGTTCTATTGCGGAGCGCGAGGTGAAGAAGTGGTATAACGCCGTTGAGATGCCAAATAATCCATACGCCCCGGAGGCCCTGAAGCAGCGCATCAGCGGCACCCAGGAGCGGTTCATGGATGTGCCGAACATCAGTCCGTGTGCTGAGCAAAAGGCCCTAGCATCGGCGCTGACGGAAAATCCGGATCCGCCATCGCCGAAAACGGACTATAAGCGGTGGGTGTTTGCAGAGGAAATATCATACTATCTTACTATAACCCTTATATCTTGTGAATCTCTATATTACTATAATTTAGCTATAGCCGCGACTACTATATCAACAATGCTCCCACGCCCACTGACAGCACGGGGAGTGGAAATGCCGCCGCCTCCGTCGCAGCCGAGGATGTGGAGGACATCGTGATCAACGAGGTAAATCAAGAACCAGAACCACATCCACCGCATGGCCGCATTTCCAGTAGCGCTCAGAGCACCGCTGCCGACCTCTCTCATTGGACCCTATCCACGCCAGTGCGCCGTAGCAGTTCGCTCAAGTTCATTAACAGCCGCCCCTCCCCCACCCCCTCATATTCCCTGGGCTACGAAAGGTCACCGCCCCTCGAACGACCTTCGACATCGGCCTCCCATTACCGCGAGTCAAGTCTGGGATTGGGAGACGACGCTGACTTCGACCTGAGATCCCAGCGCTCCTGGCGCAGCAGCTACAGTTCGCTGCCCAAGCGGCACACGCAGTCCTCCCTGAGTCTGCATAGCAACGGTAGCGGGGTGTCCTTCGGTTCGTCCGTGTCCAAGAGACGTTCGGCGGCAGGAGGAGGTCCGGGTGGCCCTTCCGCCGGCGTTCTCACCCAGTTCGAGAAGCAGCTGCTGCACAAGGACCTCAAGCGGAACAGTTTCCGGGCGGTGTCCGCCACCTCGAAGGACTTCGTGATGAATCCGCTGTTCGAGAGCGAACCGCTGGGCGGGAAGCTGGCCCTGCGGCCGGAAACGGAGGACCAGGGCGACTCGGGGGTGGACAGCTGCCTGAACGGCTTCAGCGGTGCGGACACCAAGTACAGCAACAACAGTCTGCTGTTCTAGAAAACACTGGGGATGGGGAATGGGATCGGGATCTTGTTGGGTCTTAGCCCTTATGGATATTTGCCAAATTACGCATAGCTTAGTCAAACCGATGTTAAACACTAGTCAGTATAGCAAAGCCAGTTTCTCTGTACATAGTAATGAGATGGGCAGGGGCGGGATACAAAAAAAGAAAGTAGAAAGAAAATCATGGAAAGAAAGCACGCACAGAATCTCCCGTACTGGATGGCCATCCAATGACCTCTCCACTGCACCACCTCTAGCACCATACCAACCACGAATGAGAGTGTCGAGCTAGTGTTCTGATCGTACCTTAGTTAATACCACTTACGTAATGCTAATGCCCTAGAGTATGCAACGTTTGTTTTTAATCATTATACTTGCTGTTAATTTTATGAAATAATATTATAATTCCTGTACTGTATCTGTATGCACACCGCTAACGCTCTTTTCTTATGAACAACCATACACATATGCCTAGCGATATACTTACATATATGATGCATTAATTCCAAATAAAGCCAAACAATAAACAAACCAACAAAAGAAATCAAACACTGAACCACTGAAACAAATGTTTTTAGTATCCGTATCCCAAGAACCCTTCAAATTGGTGAGTACCGAACCGAGAGTTAACCGAAATAGTTAGTTATGTTTGGGTTGCTTTTGGATTTGACTAACAGCATTTGTTTCGAAATCATACCGAGCGATTGTAACTACCTGAAAGATTATCTTTCCTGCATGCTGCTGCCTGAGCGTTTTCACCCACAAAAATCCACCGCATCCGCTAAACTCTAGAACAAATCCACGCCAACACTAATATTGTATACTAAAACACCTACACTTCTTCTTTCCATCGAAACCCTAACCACACTAACCAACAAAACAACACCGACCCACCAAAACCAAAACCAACTGTCAACCAAACCGACAATGTTTTATCAAAAGGCTCAAAAAGAAAGCAATCAGCTACAGGAGTTGGTGTACAAAGCCTTGCCAGTTCAGGTCCTGGACGAGTCCCTGGACTCCCAATCGAATCCCTCGCTGTACTCCCTGCAGACCACGACCACAACCAGCGATGAATCCGATACGGTACGGATCTACGATTTTAACAAACAGGAAACGACGGTAATAAAAAAGGCTGCTCCGGTGGAGCAGCAGCCCAGCACCTCCACCACATCGTCCATGGAGTCCGCCCAGAGTGGTCCACCTTCATCTTCTTCCATCGACTCGTCTGTCTCAAAGAAGCGGGAGCGACCCGTGGTCCTTCAGTTTGGTCCTGGGGACTCGGCGCCCACAATAGGTTCTCCTGTCAGTACACCCACGCGGGGATCCACTCCTCCTGCTTTTAGATTCTTGCAGCCCAAACGTCGCCTCATTGATCCCAGTCAGGTGCTATCCGTCGATGAAGATGATGTGGTAAGAGTGTCCTAATAGACGATCCAAATATGTGATTATGCAATCCGTTTTCGACAGCCTGAACCTACTACTCCGTCGGCGGAGAAGCCCGCCATTGAAGATGAAGTGGTCCATTCCATGCCATCGGTTAAGGCCCTGGCTCAGGCCTTTCTTTTGACCAGCAAGCACACACAACCACAGCGGAGATGGCGGGCCAAGGTGAGGAAATTGAAAAAGATCTCTCTTGTTTAATATAATAATTATATCTCATTTATAGGTAAGAATAGCAGCCCCTCCAGATACACCAGATAAGCCAGACACATCACTGACCAAGCGTCACAAACTGGAGCACGCAGTCTCCATGGCAGAAGTAGCCGATGAGTCGACCATTGCCTCGGACTTATCATCCCTCGAAACGTTAGTTTCATAAAGAAACTCTAACAAATACACTCTAAATATCCACTTTTTTCAGGGACCCCTCTATTCATTCGGAGGGCAATCCACCCATTGCCTCGCCGGCGAGTCCTGTGCCCGTGCGACATGGCTTCCTCCGGAGCAATATTGCTTTCTTTGAGAATTTAAAGTTCAAGTGAATATTCGAATGGAGTTCAGAAAGTGTGCGGCCATTGGTTGATCTTCCCGGAAGGGAAAATGCACGATAATGACGAGGCACACAGCCCATAATCCAAACCAAATCTTCGCCAAAAACCATGTGCCATGGCCTCCATTCCCCATCCCGAAAATTCACACAACCAAGTACTTAACTTCAATTGGCACTCCAGTGTGCGCCATTGTTAATTGTAGCTCGTAATTACTATTACATAATTCTTATATCCATGGATACTATTTATTTAGCTCTAAGATATGTATTATGTATTTTTAAGCATAAGCGAAACTATTTCCCATTTCAGCTGAACAATGTTACACTTCAACCGAACTAGTTTAAATGTTACATAATTGTACTCAATAAAACATATAGAGAAGAAAAACTTGCGGGGGTTACGAATATTCACAACACAATCGGGTCTTAGGGTCGTAAGTTTACTTTTAGCTGAGGGAGTGATGTGGAGCATAGGACAAACATTTCTATGCCACTTGGAAGCACCGAAATCGTAGTTATTTAAAAAAGTTCAGTACACAAAGACCTTATTATATTTGACAAGAGTCAATATAGTCATACGTTTAGGTATAAAAATAAATTCCGTCGCTTTTAGTTGCATTTTTAATGCGCCAGACTGATCTGAAGGGGGTGAGAGAGTGCCAGGTGAGAAGGTGCCGGTACATTTGGAATGATGATCACTTCGGGGCAGGGGTTAGCCCAACTCAACTACTGGGCACTATGATTGTGATGCGGATGCTCCGCCAGGTATATGACGTAGACCAGCGGTATGACGACACACAAGGCGAGTATAAAGATCAGCAGACAGATCCAGGACAAGTCGCAATCCGATCCAGACCAGTCGATGGCACTCAAAGAGGGTCCAGGGATGGGACGCACCAGCGGAGCATGTCTATCCACCAGCATGTGGTTGAGCAGAGCAGCATTTTCCTCGAAGGGTTGTTCCATATTAGCTGCAGACAAAAGTTCAGAGATTATTAGGTTTTAAGTAATTAAACAACATTTTCAAAAGTAGTAATAAAGTATAAAATAACCCTCATAGATTTCAGTTCATGGAGGTATAGGTTTCGTTTTATTTCATGAATTGCCAGCTGCAGGATGTATTACAGTTTTTCTTGCAGAGGATACAGAATGGTGCCAATAAAAATAATCTTAATTGTAGGTCATATAGCGGGGAGTGGCGCTGAACTTGGCGTAGCTCTTGATAACCTTGTTGACGGCCTCGAGGAAGTCCTTCTCGGTGGCCACCTTGCGACGCGCCCGAATGGCGAACATGCCCGCCTCCGTGCACACCGATCGGATCTCAGCTCCAGTCGAGTTGGGACAGAGGCGCGCCAGCAGATCAAAGCGAATGTCACGCTCCACGGACATGGAACGGGCGTGGATTTTGAAGATATGTGAGCGACCATCCTGATCGGGCAGGCCGAACTCCACCTTACGGTCCAAACGACCAGGTCGCATCAGCGCCGGATCCAGGGTGTCGGGTCTGTTGGTGGCCATCAGCACCTTGATGTTGCCGCGAGGATCGAACCCATCGAGCTGGTTGATCAGCTCCAACATGGTGCGCTGCACCTCGTTATCGCCGCCGGCGCCATCATCGAAACGGGCACCTCCAATGGCGTCGATTTCGTCGAAAAAGATGAGACAGGCCTTCTTGGAGCGCGCCATCTCGAAGAGCTCGCGTACCATACGAGCTCCCTCGCCCACGTACTTCTGCACCAGCTCGGAACCAATAACGCGGATGAAGCAGGCGTCCGTGCGGTTGGCCACGGCTCGGGCACACAAGGTCTTTCCCGTTCCAGGTGGGCCGAACAGAAGCACACCCTTGGGCGGCTCAATGCCCAGGTTGACGAACTTCTCCGGGTGCAACAGCGGCGTCTCCACCACCTCGCGCAGCTTCTCGATCTGCTCCTTGCAGCCGCCTACGTCGCTGTAGGTGACATCCGGCTTGTCCTCGACCTGCATCATGGTCACCGTAGGATCGATCTTGGGCGGCAGTGGAATGTGGATCTGGTACTTGTTACGGTCGACGCCCACGCGCATTCCCTCCTCGATGTCGGTGGGGGCCACAGAGTCAGCCAGGTCCACCACGAACTTGGCGAACTGCTTCACATTGATGATGTACTTGGGATCGTCGGAGTCCGCGTTGATGATCTTGGTGCAGCGGGCCACCTGAAGGGGCTGCTCGTTCTGCAGGATCTGCTTGTCGGCGGCCAAGTCCCAAAGGGCGGGAGGCGCCAGGCCCGTGTCGCTCTCCTTGATCCCGGTCAGCTCGTTGACCTGCTTGACCGCCTTCTGGATGTCCTCCTCAATGCTCTTGATGGACTTGTGGTACTGGCTCTGGCCATACGTCTTCAGCAGCTCAATGTCGCCCTCGTCCAGCGACTTGATCTCCTTGTCCTCCTTCTCGTCGTGCTTCACCTTGCGCTGGTCGTCCCCCAGGTAGTCCGGCATCTTGTTCAATTGCAATTGGTATGATTTTAGGTGCAAAAAGTGAGTTTAAGCTATGTTTTCCTTTTGTTTTACGGCGAGAATGACTGAACAATTTGGTCTAGAGGTGGGAAAAGCATAGCTGGCACTATCGGCAAGTCGATATTTATCTTTTTTTCCAACACTGAGCTTATCGATGTCTGCGCACTGTTAACTCCGAATGTTAAAGTACAAACCGTTACATACAGTTACTGTAACTGTAACCATTATTTTTTAAATTAAACCTTAAATAATCGCAAGTTTTTGCAAATCTTTTTTTAAAACTAATTTTTTTTTTGGAACAATTATTTTCCAAGCCGGTAATCCCATTTTTAGCGCAGTATATGGAGAAATATTTGAAATATATTTTTTTCTAAGCTACTTAACTAATGTTAATAAAAGGAACATTTCCCAGCACTAACCCCACTCTACCAACACTGTAATGTTAAGTGCAACCAAAGACCGCGACAATTTCAGGGTCAATCTTCCCCAGCTTCTGAACTCACCTTCGTCATTAGGCGCACCCTGAGCTCCCTCGTAGAACTGTCCAGCTGCTCTGCTCGTCGACGGCTGGTCGGGATCCACAGCGCCGGAAGCGTTTACTGCCGCCACCAGAAGTCGCTCATCTAACATTTGACGCGCGTCCTCGAGGGGATTGCGTTCGGGAGCGGGCTCCCGTTCCAGGTTGTGCCTGGGACTATTGTTCCCGCTTCGGTGGATGGCGGGCAGGGCTTCAAGGCCTCCGTTGCCCAGAAGAACGTTGTGCACTGTGACCGGAATGCGGATGACCCTGTGAGCGTGAATCTCGTTCTCGCGGTCGATCTTGTTCAGCCGCTTGATGTCTGCCACAGAGGAGTGGAAGCGAAGGGCAAGCGCCTGCAGGGTGTCGCCCTCCTGGACCTTCACCTCCAGCGTGTTCTCATAGCGCCCGAGGCGGGCATGGCCATTGGGCCTCCTGGCCAGCGGGAGCAGGTCCTCGAACTCGTCGTCGTCGTAGGCAGGACGCGCGAAGATGTCCTCCACCTCGTCGGGGTCCACATCGTCCAGGTTGTGATGTTGCTGGCGCCTGGAAATCACAGCTCTGATCACACTCTGCTCACTTGGAAGAGGAAAAGCAACAGTCGAGTTGGCGCTGACTTACGCATTGCGTCGCATTGTTGTCCTGGTCGCCTTGAGGGGATTTCCTGACCCAGATATCGGATAGCTTCTCGGGTTTCGATAAAAGCGCAACTCTTTGTCTAGCTCAAGGCAATTAATTAACGCAATTAGATTTATTTACGTGTAAAGTTTGTTCTCAGCAGCAGCCCACAAACAACAACAAAGCGAAAAGCTCCGTCACAGATGACCGAAAATATCGATAACCAGCTGTTAACGAGCGCTGTTAACCTCAACAGCGTAAACACAGCTGTTTTCGTTTACTAACCAATTTGTATATTTTTGTTTTCGTAAAATGTCACTATTTGCATTTTTGAAGAGCCGCACCGTGTTCTGGCTGAGCCTCACAGGCACCACGACGGGATTTGCATTCTTTGTCAAGTGGGTGCTCTGCTTTCCACACAGGATTCATTAGTTTTATCCACATATTCGTGTTACAGGGACCTTATGCAAGGCGGTCAGTTCACCAAAGAAACAGATGAAACCGGCAAAGTGGTCATCGTGACGGGCGCCAACACGGGGATCGGCAAGAAAACGGTCAGGGAGATTGCGAGGCGCGGTGGCACTGTCTACATGGCCTGCAGGAATTTGAAAAAGTGTGAGGAGGTAGGTGCTTCATGGATATTATTCCTTAATTGGGACTTACCTATACATTCTTCTTACAGGCCCGAGAGGAAATCGTTCTGGAAACGAAGAACAAATATGTGTACTGCCGTCAATGTGACCTGGCTTCCCAGGAGTCCATCCGCCACTTTGTTGCTGCGTAAGTCTGGATAGATCTCTATAATCTCTTATATGACCTACCATCAATATCCGCAGCTTTAAGCGGGAACAGGACCACCTCCACGTACTTATCAACAACGCCGGTGTCATGCGCTGTCCCAGATCTCTCACCTCAGATGGCATTGAACTGCAGCTGGGAGTGAATCATATGGGCCATTTCCTACTCACCAATTTGCTGTTGGACCTGCTAAAGGTACTTCAAAACTTAACTAATAAGCTACAAGCCCTCTAACCAGTTCAACCATTAGAAATCCGCTCCCAGTCGGATTGTTAATGTCTCCAGCTTGGCGCACACTCGTGGAGAAATTAACACAGGCGATCTGAACAGCGACAAGTCCTACGATGAGGGCAAGGCCTACAGCCAGAGCAAGTTGGCTAATGTACTTTTCACAAGGGAGTTGGCCAAGAGATTGGAGGGCACCAAAGTGACGGCGAATGCCCTGCATCCAGGTGTGGTGGACACGGAAATAATCCGGCACATGGCCTTCTTCAATAACTTCTTTGCTGGGTTGGTACTAAACAGGATACCTCAAATGCCTATTTACTTAAGAGGATATTTCCCTTACAGACTGTTTGTGAAGCCACTGTTTTGGCCCTTTGTTAAGACTCCCAAGAATGGTGCTCAGACCACATTGTATGTGGCTCTGGATCCCGAACTGGATAAGGTGACGGGACAATACTTCAGCGATTGCAAACTAAAGGAAATGGCACCAGCTGCCACCGACAGTCAGACGGCGAAGTGGCTCTGGGCAGTCAGTGAAAAGTGGACCACGCCTACGATGATCAAAATACACTAGTTCGTATTGTAAAAAATGTTACTTCTGCTTCCGCATAAATTTTATGTTTTCTACAGACAACAGTACTCCCATTTATCTTATTTTAGTTGTGCTAACTTGGCTTAGGTCAACTTTAGCCGGCTAAAAGACAGTTGAAAGCTCATAATTTGAATGCGTACGAACGTTTGTACTCGGAAACCGGTTAGGGGCAATTTCTACATCATTTGTTTAAAATAGATATGTATATCCATTACATTTTTAACTTGAGCCTTCGGTCCAAAAGTTTAGGGTCATTTCACCAGTGGGAAACATTCAAGCCGTCGGTAAAGTGACTCGGTTTTCGGCTCCTTGTCGCAATTATCTATGCTAAATGTGTTGAGTAGTGTTTCCCTGATTACAGGCTACTTGTAGAACCCGGCACTATCAGTTTTATCAGTTGTCGTCCAGTAATCGCAGTGGCGATCACTTAAAAACTCGCAAAATTTTGCCCGCGTTGGCACTCTGCAAGAGACCACGAATACGGCCGGACCGATCAACTAGTATGGAAATCATTTTTAATTTTCTACGCAAAATTGCCCCCATATTTCTGGCCCATGGAATTGTGGGCATTATCGCCTTCTGTGTGAGGTAAGAGGCACCGATTTGAAATGTAACGCTGAGCAGCGTTATCAACCGCGTATAACAGTGACGACAAAGTAGTTATCACTAATCACCGATTAACTGGCATTATTGTACCCCGATTTAGGCTGTATATGCAGGGGGGAAAGTTCAGGAAGCAGACCGATGAGACGGGAAAAGTGGCCATCGTTACTGGCGGAAACACGGGTCTTGGCAAGGAAACGGTGTTGGAGTTGGCCAAAAGAGGAGCCACTGTTTACATGGCCTGCCGAAATAAAGAGAAAGGAGAAAGAGCTCGAAAGGAAATCATCAAGAAGACGGGTAACTCGAATGTTTTCTCTAAGGAGTGCGACCTGTCCTCACTCGATTCCATTCGGAAGTTTGTAGAAGAGTGAGTCATAACGTAAACCAAATACTTTACTCTTGTACTGATAATATGTTTACCAAAAGCTTCAAGAAAGAGCAAAGGGAGCTGCACATCCTGATCAACAATGCAGGTGTCTTCTGGGAGCCGCGCGGACTGACAAAAGAGGGATTCGAAACGCACCTGGGAGTGAACCACATAGGCCACTTCCTGCTAACCAACCTGTTGATTGATGTGCTGGAGAGGTCAGCTCCTAGCCGGGTGGTGGTGGTGGCCAGCAAGGCCCACGAGCGGGGTCAGATTCATGTGGAGGACATCAACAGCTCCGACGACTACGACGAGGGAGTGGCCTACTGCCAAAGCAAGCTGGCCAACATACTCTTTGCCCGGGAATTGGCCAAGAGGCTGGAGGGGACGGGTGTCACGGTGAACGCTGTCAATCCTGGATTAGCAGCCACGGAGATTGCCAGGAACATGGTCTTCTTCCAAACAAAGTTCGCTCAGTATGTGGTAGAGTGTGTCCTCTTCAAATAGCCCTTCCATATAAGTCGTGTTAACTGTTTGCTTTTGCAGAACAATCCTGAGACCGCTTCTCTGGTCTATGATGAAATCTGCCAGGAACGGAGCCCAGACAACCTTGTATGCCGCCTTGGATCCCGACCTCGAAAATGTATCGGGTCAATACTTCAGCGACTGCCAGTTGGGATCCTTAGCTCCAGCTGCCCTCGACGATCAGATGGCCAAGTGGTTGTGGGCCCAGTCCGAGAAGTGGGCAGAAATCGCTCTGTAAATTGGTTCACTCGGGTATTGTTAAATAGCTTGTCACTATCTAAGTCAACGGTATTCTTTACAACGCCACTGTTATTTAACAATAAACTTAATGAAGGAAACACTTTAAATATGATTATGGAGTTTAGTCGAAGACTCGATACTTTTTGGCTTCATCTTAAATCATTAGACTTGGGTAACTATTTGAGAGGGTCGTGAAAAGAAAATTGTCCATCCCCAAATGGTATATATATGTGTATGTTAAGTATCAACTAATAAGTAAATGGATAAGAAAGGCATTCCGACCTTAAAATATATAAATATTTAAAGTATATTTTTTGTGCTAAATTAAATCGTGAACTTGTAATCTACTTATGAGTCAAGCACTCGCTAATATTCCTTCCACATGATATAGTATACTGTACAAGCGACAATGCAGTTAGGATAACTGTGAGAATATAGTCCAAGGCGAACTTACGATCGCAGGTGATATCCAAAATGATCATGTTCTGGAGTGGTTCCAATTTCTGGTAAAGCATCAAAGAAGTATGCTGAAAATAATCCATGAGTTACAGAAATTAGGCAGTTCAAGAAAGATCTCACCTCGTTGTCGAGTACCATTACGGTAAGAAGGCTTAGTTTTATTTTTCTCATGTACAAGGATTGAGTGATTACGATGAGCTGCTGTAGCTGTAATTCGGCATCGCGAATTCGGTCAGTACACATTCCCAGGATCAGGACATATAGGATAGGGATCAACACGGGTCCCAAACACCCGTCAGCAATGATGTAAATCTTGTTTTCCAACTCGTCCTCGGCGAAAAGGCTGCACTCTATGAGAAGTTCCATGTTGAAGATGCAGGCGAAGATCATAAGGTAAATTGAAGTCGAAAGCCAAGAAAACTTATCCTTAATGAATTTATGGAGATTGTTAATGCGGAGGTGCAGTTCAAAAAGAAGAAACAATCGGTGATGGTAGTGAGCTTCAATATCATGCCGAATCTCGTTATCCTCAATAAAGCGCTGCAGGAACAGGATAATGGTGTGATACCAGCTGATAAGGATCAGCTGGTAAATGAAATACCCTGCAAAGCAGTACTCCAGCAGCACCCAGTACAGGAAGTTAATAACCAGGAAGTATGGCTTGTTCCATAGGGCATCCAGCAGGATGTAGAGTATCCACAGTTTGAACAAATACACTCCCAACAACACATAGTCGCAGTTGTATACCATACCGATCTTTCGTTCGATCAGGCTGGTGATTTGGAAAATCTCGTTGACTGAATGTTCCACAAACCTCCGATCCCTTTTCAAATGCAAAAAGATCACCAGGCGCCGCAGGGAGTTAACGACTATTCCCAGCCCGAGAACACTCATCACAAAGTTTTGGGCAATGCTTTTTTGCACCAGTTTGATGTGAATGTATATGACCAATCCGAGAACGAAGTACTGCAGATATTGGCTGGCCACTAGCAAAACCTTGATGGCAACTACAATCTTTGACCATATTCGATGATATTGGGTCTCCTCCACTTGATTGGTTTGCTCATTGTAGTGCAGCTTAAAGAAGTGGAATCCACAGGCGATTGCGTAAATGGTCCAAGCACTCCCCTTAAAAAACAATCGATGTTTGTTTTGGGTTGGCTTTTTACGAAGCCTGCGAAAATTATCTTTATTCAACATGTCTCCGGGTATAAGTGAGCAGAAAGCTCATTTGGCTACGGATATAATATTAATTGAATCGAATTCCTGTGTTAATGACACAGACATAAACGAAATGTTCCAAGTTAAAAGAGGAAGGCTGAAACAAAAACAGCGAGAAAGAAAGCTACTCGAAATGTGCATACCCTTGCAGTAGTAACAAAAATTATATTACAAAATATTTACACAAAATTTACATTGAATTACTGAATAAATTTAATTATGCAACTGCAGCGAAATAATAAATGACCGGTCACGAACTGGGCGTTAAACGCAACTTTTTAGAATCAATAAGTAAAATCCAGTGACCTAAACTTAATTAACTTATTATAATCAAAGCTTAATTCTTCAGATCATTTTATTTTATTACCGAATAAATTTAATTATGCAATTACGTTTAACTCCAGCAAAATAAAAAAAAAGCTGTCACGAACTAGTAGTTGAACGTAACTTTTAGAATAAGTAAGTAAAACCCAGCGACTTAAACTAAATTAACTTATTATTATCAAAGATTAAATTCCTCAGATCATTTTATCGTCATATTAACCAACGACTCAAACAAAAAACCACTTAGGATCAACGGTTATAATTTTATACATTTTAGTATCAAACTTTGACCAGAAGGTAACAAGTCTCGGAAGCCTCAGTTACTCTCCGAGACTTGCAAGTCCGACCTTATACTACCGATGGTATTTTTACCGGTTCATGATCGTTAACGTATCAAGTATGTGCATTCCAAGGTTTTGATGTTACTGTATATAGAAAAGTATACGTGGGTTCATCTCGCCAGTCGACACTTGAAGCTGCTAGCATCCGGAGTGGAAAAATGAATGTAACCAAGGATTACCTATTGAGCCCGCTGGTATATGGGTCAACACTTTCTGCCATTGGAATATACTTTCTCAGGTGAATTTATAAGAGTTTCTCTGAAATTCCTACAACTTTTGACCTTTTTCAGGCAGTATATGCAGGGTGGCCAGTTCACCAAGAAAACGGATGAGACTGGCAGAGTTGTGATTGTGACCGGATGCAACCAGGGAATTGGCAAGGAGACCGTGCTGGAATTGGCTCGCAGGGGAGCCACCATATATATGGCCTGTCGCGATATGAGAAAGTGCCAGCAGGCACGTCAGGAGATCATCAAGGCGACTAACAATCACAATGTTTTCGCGCGTGAACTGGATCTGTGCTCCATGAAGTCCATAAGAAACTTCGCAGATGGGCAAGCTTTCACTTTTTAAATTTAAAAAATATTTACTTAATATATATATTTTTACAGCTTCAAGCAAGAGCAAAATAAACTTCACATTCTTATCAACAACGCCGGCATTATGGACTGCCCCAAGATGCTGACGAAGGATGGTTTCGAAATGCAAATAGGTGTGAATCACATGGGTCACTTCCTGCTCACTCTTCTGCTGCTCGATGTCCTGAAGAGTTCCGCCCCCAGTCGAATTGTGGTCCTATCCAGCATTGCTCACCGGTTCGGAAGAATTAAACGAGATGATCTGAACAGCGAAAAGTCCTATGATCGCAAGATGGCTTATTGTCAGAGCAAATTGGCCAACATCCTTTTCACCAGGGAGTTGTCAAAACGTCTGGAGGGAACTGGAGTGACGGTGAATGCCTTGCATCCTGGTGTAGTGAACACTGAGCTCTTTAGAAATACCCCATTCTTGGGATCAAAGATTGGAAAGTACGTTTGGTTATTGGTAGGACCCTAAAAATATATTAATTAATGGTTTGCTTTTAGAATCCTAATTGCACCTTTCATTTGGATCTTTATAAAGACTGCCAGGAACGGAGCCCAGACGTCACTGTATGCAGCTCTGGATCCCAGTTTGGAAAACGTCTCAGGAAAATATTTCAGTGATTGCAAGCCAAAGCATGTTGGGTCTGCCGCCCAATATGATGATGATGCCGAGTTTCTGTGGGCGGAGAGTGAGAAGTGGACGAAGATTAGTATTTGACCTAAAAAATGATGGCTTTAACTGTTGACCGTAAATGATTTTACAATTTTTTAAGAGGCATATATACCATGAGTGTAAACTTTAAAGTCCTCTGCAGTTGTTAGCACCAACCTTAAACTTTGTTAAACTTATTTTTGGCTAATATGTTTTCAATTTTGTATTGTTTACGTAATTCACATGTTATAAACTTATTAAGTTCAATTTTGAAGAATTCAGGAATACATTACATTTAAATATAACTAACGTTAAATAAAGTTTTAAATATTTGTCGGTGCCCTATATCCTAGATAGTCATTGCATACACGCTGTTATCTGTATTGGAACTAGAATCGATCCCGCTCTTAGAAAACCTTTAATCAAAATTCTCTCATATTGTATTCACTCTTATCGTGATGACTCGTATTCTCTGTCGCCATATTCGCCCATTGGTCGTTCTCTTGCAGCCTTAACAATTAAATCATCGTTTTTGCTGAGCACGGAGAACGTATACCTATTGAAGAGTATTTATATAAAAAGAGTAGCAGTCTTGACGGCATATAACAAAGAGCTTTTTGTAAACACGGAAAACTACTTTAAGCTGAATATTGTGAAATGAAAAATGTGTTCTATAATGGGTTGTCTATTAAGCCCGGTAATACTTTTTCCTATACTATTTGGAGCGCTTGTTTTGTGCACTAAGTAAGTGTGTTAACTAATAAGATATACTAGCTTAAACAATAAATATTTTCCAGGGATCATAAGCAAGGCATTCAGTTCAAGAAGCAAACCGATGAAAAGAGTAAGATATAATTCCGTACATAAATTCGTTGTTGGACTTGTACCATAAAAATTAATAAGAATTCAACCATGTAACTTAAGAATCTTCTTTAAAATAGCTTCAATCGAGTGCAGAAGATAAGTCGTGCTTATCAATAATGCTGGAACTATGAGATGTCCTCGTAGATTGACCCGAGACAGATTTGAATCGCAGCTAGGCGTTTACCACATGCGTCACTTTCTGCAGACTAACCTGTTGCTGGATGTCGTAAAAGTACAGCAATCAAGCAATATTTATTATGATAATAACTAATCTACAAATCCGACCTAGAAAATGGCTCCAAGTCTAATTGTGGTTCTTTCTAGCGTGGCCCATTTAAAGGACATTATCAACTTTGACGATCTGAACAGGGAAAAGCCATATGATGGTGTTTGATGCCTACAGCTAGAGCAAGTTGCCCAATATTCTGTTTACCGGGGAGTTGGTTAAACGTTTGGATGGAACAGATGTCGCGGTCAACGCCCTTAATCCTGGATTCGTTAACAAAGAACTGGCCAGGGATTCTAATACTGTAAATGGTTGTTTTATACGGTTAATTTATATAGACTTTTAGTTCATTATTTTAATTATTATTGAAGCACGCTTATATTAATTTTAAAGCCTGTGAAGTGTTCCCATTCTGAAGACTCCCAAAAGTGGAGCACAGACCCCCATATTCCTGTCCTTAGATCGGGAGTTGGAGAAGGTTACTGGAAGGTATTTTCGGAACTGCCGGGAGGAGCAACCGGCAGCTGCCGCCAAAAATACACAATTGCCAAGTTATTGTGGGCTGAGAGCAAAAAATGGACTGGCCTTGATATATCTAAATGGGATTAATTACGACGTTGAGATATCTTGAGAGATATCTTTTGGAAAACAGTGTTGAAAAATATGACCATGTTCAAACAATCCGCCCTCGAATGAATACCGGTTTGCCCCTGCATCTCATGAACCATATCATAGTTCAAAAATTCGCATTATAATACTTTAGTAATATTTCAATTTAATTGAATGAAAAATACTACAAACATCATAAACTTAATAACATTAGAAGTGCATTATAGTATGTAACACCCGTTTTACTAAAGAACGTTCTTAAACTTCATCAATAAAAAAATTCAAATGTATTTCTTTAATGCAGTTAAGTTTTTCCGTTAAAAACGCAACTCATTTTATTTAGGTACAAACACTTCGTGAAATTCGTTCAGGGTTTTCCTCGCAGCTCGATGATAATTGATTAGGTCTATAAATAAACCTGCGTTTAAACAAATGGCTTAACAAGCTGTTTGCCCTAATATGACTTCGGCTAAGTTCGTTTTGGCCGATGTATATTCGGGCCCGCAGTGCGCTCGTATACGTAATATTTTCAAAACATTGTGAATATGCTCTTCTTCTCCAACCCACTACGCTCTCTTCTCGTAAGTTCGAAATATTCTCATCGTGAGTAAGCATTTTGTGGCTGTCGTGTACTTTCTGAGAGATAGCGACCATGGTATTTAAAAGACGGCTGGAGCCGGCATAGCTGTCATTCACTGAGAGATCCCTCAACTGGAAGTACATAACTGCAGAATAAAAATGGGCTGTTTTACTTGTTTATTATTGTGGCCGGCTGTCATTGCTGGCGCTGTGTATTTTCTGAGGTAATTTCAGCATGAAATAGTTATGCTCCGTATGAGTAATACTCAAATGAGTCGCCATTACTTGTGACAACTGAACTAAACACAATATCCCACGATTGAATTTCAGGAAATACATGCAAGGCGGTCAGTTCACCAAGCAGACCAATGAAACGGGCAAGGTATTCATTGTCACCGGTGCCAACACGGGAATCGGCAAGGAGACAGTCCTGGAGATTGCCAAGCGCGGAGGAACCGTGTACATGGCCTGCAGGGATATGAACCGATGTGAAAAGGCCCGTCAGGATATAATCAGGGAGTCGAATAACAACAACATTTTCGCCCGCGAGTTGGACTTGAGTTCGCTGGAATCCATTCGAAAATTCGCTGCTGGGTAAGCAAACATAACTGATCAATAAATATGCCTATTACTATAAAAAAATTCTTTTATGAATCAGTTTCAAGAAAGAGCAGGACAAGCTTCATGTCTTGATCAACAACGCAGGAGTTATGCACTGCCCCAGGACTCTTACTAAGGATGGCTTCGAAATGCAGCTGGGTGTTAACCACATGGGACACTTCCTCCTCACCCACTTGCTCCTGGATGTTCTGAAGGTAATATTGGCATTAAGAAACTATTGACTTTTATAGCACATTATTAACATTATATATATACCTCGTAGAAAACTGCACCCAGTCGCATCGTAAACGTTTCCAGCATTGCGCACCTTTACGGCTCTATCAACATTGATGACCTGAACAGTGAGAAATCGTACAGTAGAACGGGTGCCTATAGCCAGAGTAAACTGGCCAACGTTCTGTTTACCCGGGAATTGGCCAAGCGTCTGGAGGGAACTGGGGTCACGACTAACTGCCTGCATCCCGGAGCTGTGGACACGGAGCTGACGAGGAACTGGAAGTTCATGGAGAACATCTTTGCATGGTAAGTTATAAGTTAGCCCTTGTCTGAACTAGATAATAATCGTTGTTTCCTAGGTCTTTGGTGAGGCCTGTGCAATGGATGCTTTTCAAGACTCCAGTGAGTGGATCGCAGACCACCCTCTACGCCGCTTTGGACCCCGAACTGAAGGAGGTCTCTGGACTCTACTTCAGCGACTGCAAGCCCAAGGATGTGTCACCAGCTGCCAAGGACGAAAAGACTGGAAAGTTCCTGTGGGCAGAGAGTGAAAAGTGGACAGGCGTGAATACGTCTAAATTGGATTAAAGAAATTATGTAATCCATCACCAGCCATTTCATTATTTATTACTGTAATCTTATTAAAATAAAAACAAATTTGAACTTACAAAATTATTTTATATTTTTGTTCCCAGATGGGGGCGTAACTTAATATACCAAAATATATGGGAAAATTAATTAATTATTTGGAAACGACATTATTTAAAATAAGCGATAAGGAGCAGACATATTTTAGTTTTCTTCCAGATAGCTTAGACGATATTTTGTACTTGAAAAAGTAACTATCAGTCCGTAGGACGGAAAGAAATTACATAATAAAATTTCGAACGCGACAAAATGTAACTTTTCCTTGGAGAGGGTCATATCGATTCTGACTCTTTAACCTCTTTGACACCTAAATATAGGAATTTGATGCATCCGATAATCTGGTAACTCTCAAAGACTCCAAGGAGTCGAGCTCCGACGTCCATTTATTCATTTATTTATCTAGACTATCCTTGTCCCTTAAAAGGACTCTAAAGTAAAATAATCACAATACCCTTCTCTTATGCTCATAAACACAACATATTGTATGCTGATCAATAATATTTTTGATAGAGTCGGAAACATCTTCGTCACTGAGTTAAAAAATTGTAAACAAATCTATAATATCCTTTAAATATGATCTTTCAGTGATAGACTGCAAGTAAAAACTTTGATCAGGCGAATTTCCACCCTATAGCAAAACAAACTTCTCTCTTATTTTAAGGGAGCCACTTTCTCTTTGCCTTTTGATTTTTCCGATTTCGCCATGTACTTATGTACGTGAGAATCAGAGATTATATATATTTGTATCGCAGTAGCCGCGTTCAGTAGTATTTCAACAGCTGTGCTTTTCGTACCGCCTAGCATTCTACCAGTGAACTCAGATCTGACAACACCCTAAACAGTAAACAAAATAAAATATATTCAAAATGTGCATTTTCATCGATTGTTTATTGAGCCCCCTAATTCTGTGGCCAGCTATCATTGGCGTGGGTATCTACCTCTTGAAGTAAGTTCCCTGAATAAGTTCTGGAAATTATGAAATGTACAATGACGACGAATGCATGACTCGCAATTATGATTTGCTAGTTATTGATAACCGAGTTTCACCACAATGTTTTTAATATTTACAGGGAATATATGCAGGGAGGGCAATTCACAAAGGATACCGATGAGACCGGAAAAGTGTTTATTGTTACGGGAGCCAACACCGGTATTGGCAAGGAGACAGCTCTGGAGATTGCCAAGCGTGGAGGAACCGTGTACATGGCCTGCAGGGATATGAACCGATGTGACAGGGCCCGCAATGACATCATAAAAGAGACGAACAACCAGAATGTATTCTCTCGGGAACTGGATTTGAGTTCCTTGGAATCCATCCGTGAATTCGTAGCTGGGTAAGCTAACCAGAGAAGCCTCTATGTCACAAATGTCTTATAATTTATACCCTTTTTAGTTTCAAGAAGGAGCAGAATAAGCTCGATGTCCTGATCAACAATGCCGGCGTGATGCGCTGCCCCAAGATGTTGACCAAGGACGGCTTCGAACTGCAATTGGGTGTCAACCACATTGGACACTTTTTGCTGACTAACCTCTTGCTCGATGTGCTGAAGGTATGGGTGGATTATATTAGTCAAGTACATAAGATAACCATCTGGTACATTTTCTAGAAATCGGCTCCTAGTCGCATTGTCGTCGTTTCCAGTCTGGCCCATACGCGGGGCGCTATTAACGTGGATGACCTGAACAGCGAGAAGTCCTATCATGAGGGCCTAGCCTACAGCCAGAGTAAATTAGCCAACGTCCTGTTCACCAGAGAACTGGCCAAGCGCTTGGAGGGTAGTGGGGTTACAGTCAACTCCCTACATCCCGGTGTTGTGGACACGGAACTGGCGAGGAACTGGGCCTTCTTCCAGACCAACTTCGTGAAGTAAGTGGAATCTATAGAAAGAAAGGAACTCTATTAGTAATATTACAAACTTTAGATTCTTCTTGAAGCCTATGATTTGGCCGCTTTTGAAGACACCGAAAAGTGGAGCACAGACCTCAATTTATGCTGCTCTGGATCCGGAACTGAAGGATGTCACTGGCTTGTACTTCAGCGACTGCAAGCCAAAGGCTGTGGCCCCCGCTGCCTTGGACGATAAGGTTGGAAAGTTCCTGTGGGCCGAGAGCGAGAAGTGGACAGGTTTGGCTAGTCCTGCATCCAAAGACTGAGCTAGTTTGAAGATAAAGTGAATGATGTAAAAAAAAATCGAGTAGGGTTAGAACAAGCGGTTTAATCTTTAATACTAGCTGCTTTTCGCGTATGGATTAATAAATAAATACATATTTTCCTAGCTTTCATAAAGCGTGTTTTATGTTTCTGATAAGTTCGATTAGTATGCCAATTGGGCAATTAAGTTTCCATCTTAGTTGGCCTTTGGCTCAATGGCGCCTGCGGTGATAAACACCCTGGAATGGAGCGCATGGGTGGTGGGCTCCTTTTTCTCGGACGCATTGGTTACGGTGTTGACGTATGTGTACTGCATATAGAAGCCCAGCACCACGTCAGTGCTTGCAGGCAGCTCCTCTGCAGGCGTAAACTGGAGTCGTAAGAGCACCTTGTGTCCCTTGCGCCAAACAATGAACTTGGGCTCTTCGGTGGGCAGCTGCACGTACTCATCAAACTCCTTGGAATCATCGCGCTGGCTGAGCACAAACTCGCTCTCCAACGGCACTATTTCGGCGTTGGACAAATCTACCACTTCTCGTTTAACCTCTCGTGTTGAATTCTGACGCGACAAGGTGATTCCTACAGCCTTGAGAAGTGGTGACGAGGAAATCGGCTCGTCCTTCACAACACGATTGGCCTCCGTTGAAAGTTGCGGATCCTCGGGAGGAGCTGCAGTCAACAGGCGAATGGTCATGTCGTACATGGTTGGATTCGTGAGCTTCAGCAGGATAGCGTTGCTCTTGCCGGGCAACAGCGGCTGCTCGCATCGCACCATCACAACCTCGGGAACATGGTAGCTGGCGAAGAGCTGGATGCGGTACTTGATCGAAGTGGGATGGTACTCCGGCTTGATCAAATTGTGCTCGCACTGCCGGCATCGCAGCGACCGCTTGATCCACAGCGACCGCCGTTGCGGATACAGACTGCCGACAGCAGTAGGTTGGTCCGCCGGCTGGCTGTGTCGCTGGGTGATTGTCGTGACATTGCGTAGGTTCAGCGGTTCCGTGAAGATGTTCGCCGGCAAGCCCTCCACCTCGGCCGTGGCTTCCGCCGGCGTGATTACGGCCTTGGCCTTGGGCACCTTGTCGTTCCAGCCGATCTGTCGGCGAATGAGTGATACGGTCAGACCAGTGCGATCCGTCAGGCTGGGGAACTTGTGCTGCTTGGGCGCCTTGCGCCGCATGAACTCCATTTTTTCCTGCTTCTCCTGCAGCACCACCGCCTGGAAGTACTCGACCAAGGCGTTGAATCGCGCCTGGTACAGGCACTCGTTATCCGGCCAAGTGCCCGTGGCCACGCCCTGATCGGGAATGCCCACGTCCCGTGTTGTCCAGCGGCAGGACAGACAGGACAGATAGTACATCTTCTTGGTGGTGGGCACTGCCGAGGGCTTGCTGCTCGCCGGAACAGGGGGCGTGGCGTCGCCCTTGGAGTCTCCGCCATCCTTGGTGTCCTTCGCCTCCTCAGTCTTGCGCACCACTGGCACGGTGGAGGCTCGGGCGGACAGAGTGTGCTGACAGCAGGGACAGTCGAAGCAGTTGGCGCAGCAGTTTTTCTTGTGGCGTGCCTAAAAAAAATAAAAATAAGTAACTTGATTCATAGCTGACAATGGGAAAGTTACAAATGCAGTTTTTAATAACTAGTGAACTGCACTTTTAATTATAAGATTCATTGTTGTCTGTAGACAGGCAGAGTATATGGAAAAGACTGATCTTACCTCCGTGGAAGGGATGTTCTCCAGGCAGTTGGAGCAGAAATGGGACTCAATTTCGTGCGTCACGCAGAATCCGCAACGCAGCTTGGGACAGTGGCGGCAGAAGAAGAGCTTGTTGATCGGGTTCAGGATGCCGCAGGAGCACGCGTACTTAACGGGACTCGGTTGCATGAAGCTCATCTTGGACGACGCTGAATTTCTCCTGGTTTCTTTGTAAATTTGCAAATTTCTCCTCTTCTTCCACAAATGACGACAGCTGTTATATCGATAGACCGATGATGTACAATGTAGTTATCGATGCATGTGCGGCTATCGCTGGTCAGCCCTGGTCATATAGCGGTAATTATGACTTCCGGTATAACAAGTTTCAAAAACATGGACTGACATTTAGGCAAACTTAAGATTCCCTTGAAGTCTAAAAACTTTAACCATTTTAACTCCCTTTCAGAAGGAAGAACTTAGTAATATTTACATTTTTAAATGGATCTTGTATTTAATTAATGGGAACATGGTTTGTGGATTTAAAAGTATCTATAATAAAAAGATCCAGAGAAAACGTATCACTCCGGAAATTATACTCCCGATTATAACAAATGCCATTTATTTCAATTGGTTTTTTAATAATCATTTAAAAATGTTAAATAATACATTTACTATGGCTTTGCGTGATAATTATTCAAGTGCACTTATGTACTATTTCTTTTTCAAGAATAAAAACAAGATAACGAGATCACCAAGGACGCTGGCACGAAAACATCTTCCTGCTTTACACATTATTTATTTAAAATGATCACATCATCGAAATATGTTTACTGTAAATTAAGTATAAATAATAATAAATGCTGTTCTGATTTCAATAAATCGCTTAAGTGGTCAATTAGCACCGAATCGTTAAATTAAATAGACACTTTACGGTTCATAAAATTCTGTACGGCATTTGTCATTAAAACTGAGGGCGTTATCAGCGAAAGCGTTTACTGCTTAGCAGTTAGTCTACATAAATGTCTTTAAAATGCTGAATATTTAATGGAATTTTTGTTGAATTTGGGCCCACAATCACATACTTTTGGTAACCGAATAAATCCGGCCAGGGAG